GTTTTTTTTTTCTTTTTTTGGAGTATCCCTTGCATTATTTATCAACTTTTTTGCAAAACTGTATGAATGTCTATATCCCTTGGAAGTAAAAAAAGTTTCTTTTAAAACTGTTAGTTATTCTAAATGTGGGTTTTTATATAAAGTCTGTGCGTTGTTTGAATGGGTAGATATTTGTCTGTTAAAGATAAGGTTAAATTCTTTAAAGAAGACAGATTGTCATAGATGGTCCTTTTTGAATTTGAGGCAGTCCTTTTTGGTTTATAATCCCTTGCAGCAAAGATGGTTTTAAAGCTTTTAGGTGACCCCAAAATACATTTGAGACAATCATTTTGGCCTACAGCTGCTGCTTAGAATATATGACAACTCTGCGGTCACTGAAGTTAGCAGTAACTTGCTGAAAAAGTATTCTGGTATAGAATTATGGACCAGGATGTACATTTTGTATGCCTGACTGTGTAGAAATAGAATAATTATTACAAATTACAAGCTAGAGCAAATTTTGTGGTATTGTATAATTTAAATGATATTCCAATTGGGCTTGTTACATCATCGCTACAACTTGTTTAATTGTTAAATTTGGACAACTTTGTATCAACATTTGAATATTTATATAAATACTACTTCTTACTACTTTACATTGTCAACTAAAATACCTTGGGCGTAGTATATACAGATTCTTTCCTTATAATAATATCTTATTGAAGTATTTATTGACTGTATTAAATAGTCAAGTAAGTAGCTTATAAATGAAAATGACTTTTGAATAATAAGTTTATGTTTACAAAATGTCACCATTGTATTGTCTATCCGTCACTTTGGTCTGGGTGGCCACTCGTTGTTATTACGCGAGATCTATTTATAGATCATGCACACCCAGACTGATCCTCTTACAGAAAGCCACACTGATAAATTCTTTGGTTCTGCTTTTCCATTTTATTATTCCTACTGGGCTAAGGTATTGTGGACCAAAATCTTGTCCTTCCTTTTTCCCCCTGATTTGATAGCCTGAAATTAATATAAAGTATACTGTTTTAAGCTTTGATGATATTGATTTAATATAGTCGGTACTGAATGAAAAAACCCAGAATGTTTTGATGAAAATAGAGTCAGAAAGTAATTTAGTTTGACATACTTATTGAGAAAGGTTTGATTATTGGAATTTGCAGATTTTTGTTGTTGATGTACATTTAGTGCTCTAAGTTCTAACACACTGATCAGAAGCCTTGAAATGCCTGATCTGATATTTAAAGATGAGGCAAAAAAAAAAAAAAAGTGTACTACATACTACATAAAAATATATATTCTGGTGTTAATTCATAAATGATGATATCAATTCAAAGTCTTTAAATTGTTTTTATAAACTTTATGAACATTTTTTCTCCTGCAGAATAGTATGGTCCTACAGGGACAATCTTCTTTTAAAATTTTGGCTAATTGAGGAGAGGCCAAAGAAGTGTATCGTTGTAACATTTTTCCTGGGTATTTTTTTTTGTCCAGAAACAATGTGACAGCATCCACCCCTTGCCGCCCCCCCCTCCCCCCCCCCACTCCATCACCATGTGACAATCTCTAAGAGTGGCATGCTTGCACAAGTCAAGCTTTTTAAACCTGATTTGGAAAAGATGATATTTTGAGATACATATTAAAATTTATTGCAATGTTAATCATGTTATTTAAACTTAAATTTTAAATTTTCATCAGTCTGTAACAAGCAGTTGCGTAATATTTAATTATATAGACTGAAATAGTACTGACTTTTAATCCAGGAACATGTTTGAAAATGTAGATTCACATGATGTGATTGAAACCACAATTAAAGATCATTTGACATACAAAATTCCCCTATTGCAGTAAAGAAGCTGAACTGTGCAGGCAAACTTTGCTGAATTCCGAGGCATAGAACTCAGTAATTTTGTAACAAACAGTTAAAGCTATATTGATATTTAAAAAAAGACATGATTCTCCTTAAAAAAACAACATTCATATAATATTACAGTGTATGAATGAGAAAAAAATGCACTCAGTGGTTAATGCTAGTGCAAATGCATTTTCTTTCCGCATGTTTCAGTATTTCATGCAAGATATCGTAACACGATACTGTTACATTTGTACTCACTCGAAGCAAACGATTTGTATATACAACAAATTTGAGACCACCCACACCTTACTACAAAACCACAGTGTTGTACTACAGACATTTTCTATCTCTGTTGCATTTCATTTCATAATCACTTGTATACTGCTAATAAAACAGATCACCAACATGAAATGTAACATAAACATCTTGTACCCCCCCCCCCCCCCACAATGTTAGACAGATAATGTTCAGTAACAAGAAAACATGTTGAGCTGTCACTCCGTTAAATCTTTTGATGATGTTATATTTGATGTACTGTTCATTATTGGTTGTTGCGGAGAAGTGTTGCTTACATGTTGAGATTAAATTTATTATTCAGTCTTACAGTGAGAAGAATCAAATGGTTGCCGCTTTGCAGACGGTCTTTCGACAGAGGTTGAACTGTAGTAATCCAAAAATGTTTAATACTTGGTCACATTTTGTCCTCTTTGCAGTCTTTAAGATTATGCAAGATTAATGTTTGTTAATGAAATACTTTATTAAGAATGTCTTGAAATTGAAAATAGTAATATTTTGGTGTATTTAATGTGTTTTGTCTTTGGTTTGTCTTTAGCATTAAAGGTCGTGGTCTAAATTAGCTAGAGGATGCAAATGATCTGGAGACAGAATTCTCGGATCATAAAATTCATAATGGGATTGAGCAGAGAGAATTTCTTATTTCGATTTTTTCTTTTTTTTTCTTTGTAAAAAACATTCATGATTGTGTCTTAAGTCATTTATCTTCAATGGATAATATTAAAAGTCATTAATGTGGAGGAGTTTACAATTAACTGTTGAGTATTGTTGGCAATTATAATGAATTATTTGTCAGTGTGCCACCAGAACAGGAAAAGGCTAGCCAGTGCACTTTCCATGCAGTTAGGGCAAGCAGAATATAAAGTAGACTGATGTGTATTAAGGTACTTGAAGAAATCCCTAAAATTTACCGTGAATCGTTCCAAATTCAAACCTGGGCAAGTCCACGAATGTAATATTCTATTTATCACATATCCAAAAATGAACTGTTAATAAAAAATAGTATAAAATTTTAGCGCAGCTTAACATTATGTTGGTAAAAAATGACATCACATCAAAATATATACAAAGTAAAAAAAGAATTTGAATTAATTAAATATTTGATTTCTTAGTTTATTTGGTATATGGTACACGTTAGCTTAAAACTTCCCAATGTTATCTAAAATGACAAGAAAAGTTCCTAATTCAAGAAAGACATGATTGTAAACTGATACAACAAATACTTTTGTATTGGTTATAGCTACTGAAAACACATTTCAGACAATATGAATTTATGTTGTTTTTAAGTACAGAACAGATTTATAATGAACTGTTTGTTCTAATCATTTGATTTCAAATGTCAACATTGTTTTGTAAAGTAACTGTTATGAAACTGTCCTATTGTATTGTGATATTTGCAAATTTTTACTTTTAGGTTGAAAAAAGTAGTGCTAAAGGCACATATTTTATAGCCTTTTCAGTTAAGATCAATATTGTTGTAAGGTTTTACCTGTTGATCTGTGTAATGAACTGATCCTACTTTGAAATTGGAACAGTTCATTTATAGTAAATTCAAGTTTAAGGTATTTTCAAAGTAACAAATTTTGAAATGTAAAAATTGGGCAGCTGACTGTTTAGAGGTTAAAATGGACAAACGGCAGACTGGTCCAGGCTGACTGGCAGCTCTATATTTGTGCCAAATACTAATTAAGTTAGGTCCCAGGGATTGAAATGAATATTTTTTTTTCTCTCTCTCGCAGTAGAGGTTATTTTAGTGCTTTGACATAGCTCTCCAAGATTTTGGTAAACATTTCTTAAATATACAACACGTATTAAGTATACAAATGTATTTCATAAACAGCAAATTTAAATGAAGGCAGAAAGACTGAGCAAGACACGATTGCATATTATATGATTGACTTAATCATAAAATTAGCAAAAAATAAATAAATATATAAAAATTAAATATAATTGATTTGCAAATGAAAATGTTTCTATCACTAATATTGCATTCTGAATGTAATCAAGTCATTAATTATTAATATGACACTTTAGATTATGACATACATAATGAAAATTAAGTTTTTATTGCGCATAATTATAGTTCAGGTTTTAGATAGCTTTCTTTGCAGTAGGCTTTTTTTTTAAGTTTAGTGTTTCAATTAGGCAAACGCCAGATTTTTTTGGGGGAGAAAGAATATATGAAGAATATGTGTGCTAGTTTTGTGAGCTTCACTTTAAGACTTGTCACATGTTTTGAATATAACTGTCGATTTTTGTGGTTTGCTTGATGTACCTAAATATTTGTTTACATTAAATGTCAAAGCACTTTATTTCACATTTAGCAGAATGGTGACTGAGGGCCCACAATGGTGACTAAGGGCCCACAATGGTGACTAAGGGCCACAATGGTGGCTAAGGGCCCACAATGGTGGCTAAGGGACCATAGAGATGGGAAAATTGGTTTTTGGGGGAGGGGGGGGGGGGTGAATTTTAGAAAAAGAAGAAATGGTTCATTTTACCTTAAATTGTGATCCAATGCCATTAATAAAATTTCAAACTACAAAAATGTCCCTCCCTTTTGGTAAAACAGATCTTAAAAAATGAAACAAATAAATATAAACAAAAGGTGGAGGGGATTTTTTTTCTAAGAAATGAGGGAAAAAAAATGTTTTTTGGAAATTGGGACAATTAGAAAATTCGACCCCGAAATCAATATGCTCTGTATTATGGAATTTTCCTGCTTTACAGCCACCTCAAAATAGCTGTCACCTGTCAAGTGATTATGTTTAATACCATAGTTTATTGTTATTAAAACAGATGTACTGTTGTTGAATTATTTATTTACTAAGTATTTATCTATTTTCAGTTTTGGTACGAGAAGCAATTCTTAACAACGATCTGCATAATAAAACAATGAAGATCACAGATTTCGGGTTGGCACGGGAAATGTACCGGACCACCAGAATGAGTGCAGCCGGTACCTACGCGTGGATGGCACCGGAAGTCATAAAAAACAACACTTTCTCACGACACAGTGATGTCTGGAGGTATATAAAAAAATAGTTTCCTGGAAATATTAACGTGTAATTTTCTTCAGGATATATCATTGTCTGTATACAATGTAAAGTGTCATATAAAACTTGTTTATGTTTATCAGAAATGCATGTAAATGGGAGGCCTTGTAACAATCAATATGCATGTAAGATACATATAAGATTTCATAATAAATAAGCTATCAGTAAATCACATAATATAATATGTTGCTATCATAGCACTCGGTAGATAGCTGAAATCTGATACAGTTGTGTTCCCAGCTGTACAGTATAATTGCTGTTTGAAAACAGATATACTTTTATCTGAATACAGTCAAACTGATATAGTTTAATCTGTATACAGTCAAACTTGACAATACGGACCATTCTTTGAAATGAAGGAATTGTATTTAAATAATTTTCAACCCTTAACCAGTAGGAATCGGAAGAAATTAGCCTTTTGTCAGGTTAGCCTTCATATTGCCAATATTGGAACAGTCTGACTTTGCTCTTTTTGTTGGTAGCTCAATATTGAAATCAAATGATTTTTTAACTGACTGTTCCATTTTCAAAGCATTGCAAAACTATTACACAAATAAAGGGTTATATACGGTGATATTTAATACATTTTTAATACAATTTATGCTTACTCTATAATTATATAACTATTCACTGTTGTTGTTGTTTCAGTTATGGTGTTGTGTTATGGGAGTTGTTGACAGGAGAAACACCATACAAGGGTATAGATGCTCTAGGTGTGGCATATGGTGTTGCTGTAAACAAGCTTACGCTACCCATCCCCTCCACTTGTCCCGAACTCTTCTCTAAAATTATGTCCGGTAAGTTTTCTTTATTGTAATTAAAGTTATGCATAAGGGCACTGTTTGCTGATTGTGCAAAGTTGAAATCATAAAATTGTTTGGCTCTTACAGCTGCATGTGGCAATGTTGATGACATAAAATTTTTTGCCTCTTTCTTCTGTTGGTTGATATTTCACCAAGGACACTGAAATTATTTGGTGTGAGAAAGCTCTGCAACTATTTATAGAACTATTTTTGAAGCAGAAATTCTTCATAGAACTTTTAACATTGACTATCTACCCCCTAATCTTGCAGAAAACACTTGTCGATGTTTTAAAATTAGTTTTATGACTTGAATTTGGTTAGACATCAGATTTGTCTACATGGTCTAACTTGTATATTTCAAATTACAATGACATTGTTACCAAATATGCGTTCCTCCAAATACCATGGCAGAAGAAGGAACAAAATTGCTTCTGTAAACTTTTCATTATGTTATGTCCATCTATAATTGGACTAAATACTCCAGTCTAAATCATTCTGTATGTCCATTTTATAATCAATTTGTATAGGCATTTAAGGTCATTACTGTATAGGCCATTCATAACATAAATTACTGTAACAGAACATAACTCTATGTCCAAAATTTATCATATACTGTATAAGCCATTCAATAACCGCTTGCTCCAATACTGTATAATCAGTTACTGTATTTAAAAAAGGCCATTCGATAATCAGTTACTGTATAGGCCATTCTATAATCAGTTACTGTACAAGACATTCTATAACCAGTTAATGTATAGGACATTATATAATCAGTTAATGTAAAGGCCATTCTATAATCAGTTACTGTATATGCCATTTGATAATCAGTTACTGTATAGGCTATTCTATAATTAGTTACTGTATAGGCCATTCTATAAAGGCCATTCTATAATCAGTTAATGTATAGGCCATTCTTTAATCAGTTACTGTATAGACCATTCTATAAAGGCCATTCTGTAATCAGTTAATGTATTGGCTATTCTATAATCAGTTACTGTATAGGCCATTTTATAGTCAGTTAATGTATAGGCCATTCTATAATCAGTTACTGTATAGACCATTCTATAATTAGTTACTGTATATGCAATTCCTATAATCAGTTACTGTATAGGTCATTCTGTAATCAGTTACATTAAAGGCCATTTTATGTTTGGTTACTGTATAGGCATGTGGCAATGTTGATGACATAAAATTTTTTGCCTCTTTCTTCTGTTGGTTGATATTTCACCAAGGACACTGAAATTATTTGGTGTGAGAAAGCTCTGCAGTAAGATTTATAGAAAGTATTTTTTGAAGCCAGAAATTCTTCATAGAACCTTAACATGAACTATTTCCTACCCCCTAATCTTGTGAAACACTTTGTCATTTAAATTTAGTGTTTTGTGACATTTTAGAATCATGATTTGCTCTACATGGTCTTAACTTGTATATCTCAAAATCAAGCATTTTACCAAAATAATTTGTGCAGTTTAACCTCCAAATACCAGCAGAAGAAGGAACACAAATGTGCTTTCTGGTCAAACTCTTTCCTGTACTGTAATGTCCATTCTATAATTGGTTACTATATATTCCCGTCTGAAATCAGTTACTGTATAGTCCATTTTATAATCAATTTCTGTATAGGCCATTCTATAGTCATATACTGTATAGGCCATTCTATAATCATAAAATTTTACTGTATATGCCATACTCTATTGTCCAAATATTCTATAATCAGTTACTGTATAAGCCATTCTATAATCATATACTGTATAAGCCATTCAATAACCGCTTGCTCAATACTGTATAATCAGTTACTGTATAGGCCATTCGATAATCAGTTACTGTATAGGCCATTCTATAATCAGTTACTGTACAAGACATTCTATAACCAGTTAATGTATAGGACATTATATAATCAGTTAATGTAAAGGCCATTCTATAATCAGTTACTGTATATGCCATTTGATAATCAGTTACTGTATAGGCTATTCTATAATTAGTTACTGTATAGGCTATTCTATAATTAGTTACTGTATAGGCCATTCTATAAAGGCCATTCTATAATCAGTTAATGTATAGGCCATTCTTTAATCAGTTACTGTATAGACCATTCTATAATTAGTTACTGTATAGGCCATTCTGTAATCAGTTAATGTATTGGCTATTCTATAATCAGTTACTGTATAGGCCATTTTATAGTCAGTTAATGTATAGGCCATTCTATAATCAGTTACTGTATAGACCATTCTATAATTATTTATATGCAATTCTATAATCAGTTACTGTATAGGTCATTCTGTAATCAGTTACATTAAAGGCCATTTTATGTTTGGTTACTGTATAGGCCATTCTATGTTTGGTTACTGTATAGGCCATATTATAATCGGTTACTGTATAGGCAATTTTATAATCAGTTACTGTATTGGCCATCCTGTTATTAGAATTACCAGGATTTCAGACCTAATTATTCCGAAATCGGCAGGTCCAATTTCACAGCAGGGAAAGGCCATTTGCACAAAATATTGCTAGGGAAAAGGTTAAGTAATAAAACCGTAACAAGATAACGGCTGAAAACTGTGCAACATGTCATTGTTTCTATTGATTCATGAATAATGAATGAGCGTTATTGAAAATACACAGTATTGATAGAAGAATTAACAGTCTGAATACTGGTGGCAGGAAGGATTTGCCTAATACGCCACTAGTTCAGAGCCAGGGCAGAATATCTGAGAACAATGGTCAGACTATTCTGCTGGTTGCTTTAATTTTTTTCTTGAAATCCTTTAATATAACTTGCTGTCTATTGTATAAAGAGGTCCCAAATTCAAAGCAGTCAGTCGTGTTTTACAAATTCACTTCGGCATCAGATCTCATAGATTAGAAACTGACTGTTTGACACTGACCATGCATACTGGGTTTGCTGTCAGACTTTGTTGATTTAATGTTATACCATTATATGGCTGGTGTATGTAGTTCTATATGGTAATTTTGATTGTAGTCCTCATTATTGGCTCAAAAGACAGAATGTTTAGTCTGTAGGCTCAGTGTTTGTGTCTTGGGTCAAATTTTAGGGACAAAATGAGCCACAGGCGGCCCATTGACCGAAGGTATGTTCTTTTTTCCCATTGTTTTAACTACGGTTGTCAACTGAAGTAGATAGAAGAGTCTTAATTATTTTAAACAACTATAAATGTATATAGGGGCAATAATATATTTTATTTCAAAACCTCTGCTCATTAAATAACAGAGTGTAAGCTGATATTGCTATGTAGATAATGAAAAATTCAGTACATGAATGATCCTGGAAGGAGAGTCATCTTGGCTTGAGGTGTCTGTCCCTCAACCCAGGGATTGTGAGTTGGAGCCCTACATGTACTTGGGTCTTAACCATGTTCCTCAACCTAAGTCACCAGCACTTGTTAGTATCAGGACACAATTTGGAGAGTGTTTTGGATAAACTTAAAGCTACCATGATAATAAAGCTATTTTTAAAGGTGAATTCTGGAAAGATGCTGATTTGAATATTACAATACAATTTTTCATCGTCTTCCAATGCAAAGATAAAAAGATCTTGATTACATGCAGGATCTTGAGGAGTAAGTCAGTGCAAAGGACAATGTATAAATGATAGTAACACATATGTACCTTGATATTTAAATTGAACACAACATTTGAATATGCATTTATGTTTTTAGATTGTTGGCACCAGGAGCCCCATTTTCGCCCCACATTTAATGATATAATACGGTCCCTGGAGGAAGTGAAGTCATCATCGTTCATGACTACACCACAAGACTCTTTCCATTCCCTGCAGGAAGACTGGAGATTAGAAATCGAGGAAATGTTTGACGAGCTTCGCATTCGAGAAAAGGTAACTTTGTTTATATAAAACTTAACAATCATATTGCAAGGGACGAGCTTTTTCTATATTAATTTTATTACGCCCATAGCCTGCCGGCAGCTACTGATTCAACCCATGTGACTAATGCAGACAGGGCGGCACATCTATGTCATCTGATCCTGTTCTGTACTGTTCTGTGTCCGGTCCGTTCGTATTTTGATTCTTTTCCTAAAAATGAGAACGGCTATGTCCTGATTGAAAGACAGACAAGTCCATTTAAGATATTTGTTTGCCTATAACGGGTATGCCATACATTTGTATTATAATTTATGACTTTTGCCATTGTCAACTTTAAAGTTTTACAAGTAGAGATAATTTTACAAAATTGAAAAGAGGTATAGTTCAATTCTAAAAGGTGGATTAATCAATAATCCATCTTTTTGTGGAAGGTTCAAATCCTTTATGTGCCAAATTTTAGCAGGATACTTTGTTTGTTACTCAGAATTATCACTGTACTAGTCTTCAAAGACATTATTACACTTGTGACTTTGTAACTATCGTGACTATATATTAATCATGACTTTGTAACTATCCTGACTATATATTAATCACAACTTTGTAACAATTGTAACTGTATATTAATCATGAGTTTGTAACAATTGTGACTGTTGTTATATTTACAACTTTGTAACAACTTTGTAACATTGGTGACTTTATATTGATCAAAACTTTGTAACATTCATGACTATATTATATTAGTTAGGGATGTGGATCGTCGGATAAGTGACGATCCGATCCGAACTACGATTCAGCACTTACGATTCACAAATCGAACCACAAATCTTTTGTTATCAAGACACCCATAAAAACATGTACATTAGTTATAAAAACATGTTTATTTAAAAAAAAAATAACAAAAAAACAAAACACAACAACAACAATATACTAAACATTAAACATATAAAATATAAACTAGGTTTGTTTTTAGCTCGACTTTTTTTTTTTTGAAAAAAAAGTAGAGGTATTGTTATAGTCAGGTCGGCGTTGCCGTTGCCGTCTCCGTTGCCGTTGCCGTTGCCGTCCGAAAACTTGTACCTGGATCATAACTTTTTTATTTCTTGGTGTATTGTCTTCATACTTGGCCACAACAACCCTTGGGACAAGACCTTTCAGTAGACCACACTAACCTTGACCTTCATCCATAAATGACCTTGACCTTCAAGGTTAAAAGTCCAATTTTTGCTTGTTCATGCTGTTATTGGCTGTTACTTTGTTATTTTTGAATGGATTGTCTTCAAACTTGAACATAATAATCTTCAAGGATATCCCTTAAAAATAACCAGTCAGACCTTGACATTCACTCATCAATGACCTTGACTTTGAAGGTCAAATTATTGAAATTTTCATTTTTTTGGCTATTATTGGCTGTAACTTTGTTATTTTTGAATGGATTGTCTTCAAACTTGAACATAATAATCTTCAAAGATAACTGTTAAAAATATACCGAAAGACCTTGACCTTCACTCATTAATGACATTGCCTTTAAAGGTCAAATTATTGAAATTTTCATTGTTTTGGCAGTAACTGACTGTAACTTTGCTATTTTTGAAGGGATAAACTTCATATTATAACAGAACATTCTTAATGACCAGACCTTGTTGTTTATCAAACCCAAATTTGCTTGGGCTCTTTAATGACCTTGACCTTGAAGGTTATATTACTGAATTTTCTCAGATTGTGCATTTATTGGTGTGTGTGTGTATGTATAGTATATGTATTATATATATATATATACATGTATATAAATGTGTGTGTGTATATATATACATATATCCAGGTATATATATATATAAATATATATATATATATATGCATGTATATATATATACATATATAGATATATATATATATATCAAATATATATATATATATATCAAATTATATAATTGCGTCATTTTTTTCTATTTTTAGAAATTGTGTCATTGTTGCTATTTTTAGAATTTGCGTCATTTTTTTCTATTTTTAGAAATTGCGTCATTGTTGCTATTTTTAGAAATTGCGTCATTTTTTCTATTTTTAGAAATTGCGTCATTTTTGTTCTATTTTTAGAAATTGCGTCATTGTTTCTATTTTTAGAAATTGCGTCATTTTTTTTCTATTTTTAGAAATTGCGTCATGTTTTTCTATTTTTAGAAATTGCGTCATTGTTTTCTATTTTTAGAAATTGCGTCATTTTTTCTATTTTTAGAAATTGCGTCATTTTTTCTATTTTTAGAAATTGTGTCATTGTTGCTATTTATAGAAATTGTGTCAGTTTTTTCTATTTTTAGAAATTGCGTCATTTTTTCTATTTATAGAAATTGCGTCATTTTTTTCTATTTTTAGAAATTGCGTCATTTTTTCTATTTTTAGAAATTGCGTCATTGTTGCTATTTTTAGTAATTGCGTCATTTTTTTCTATTTTTAGAAATTGCGTCATTGTTTCTATTTTTAGAAATTGCGTCATTTTTTTTTCTATTTTTAGAAATTGCGTCATTGTTGCTATTTTTAGTAATTGCGTCATTTTTTTCTATTTTTAGAAATTGCGTCATTGTTTCTATTTTTAGAAAATTGCGTCATTTTTTTTTTTCTATTTTTAGAAATTGCGTCATTGTTGCTATTTTTTAGAAATTGCGTCATTTTTTTACTATTTTTAGAAATTGCGTCATTTTTTCTATTTTTAGAAATTGCGTCATTGTTGCTATTTTTAGAAATTGCGTCATTGTTGCTATTTTTAGAAATTGCGTACTGTTGCTATTTTTAGAAATATGCTTAATGTTTCTATTCATATATATACAAAATATATAAACAAAACTAATGTGACAAGACAGACCAACTAAATTTATAAAAAGGAAACATCAATATATGTTCAAACCTTTCTATGTTTGCGTTTAGAAAAAGTAAAAAGTCGAGCGTTGCCCCCGCCCGGCGGTGGCTCTTGTTATTCTTTGGATGTGTATTTTTGTTTTGTTTTTTGAAACCAATTACTTCCTAGCTCAGCATCATGGTCTTTAACCGGCAAATTGTATTTAGGTTAACTTCATATAATTTATACTCAAAACGTATTTTTCTCGATTTTAAGAGTGTGAGAAACAGTGAAAGTATATAATAAGATTAAATCGCGATCCACGATCTCTAGGCTTATGAATATTCAAACTCGATTTTTCACTTTGATTCGTGATTATCCGAGTACTCGGATACTCGCCCCAGCCCTAATATTAGTCACAACTTTGTAACGTTCGTGACTATATATTAATCATGACTTTGTAACAATCATGACTATCTATTAATCACAACTTTGTAACAATCATGACTATAATTATGCCCCCATTTCGAAGAAAAGGGGGTATATTGCTTTGCACTTGTCGGTCCGTCGGTCCGTCGGTCTGTCGGTCCGTCGGTCCGTCGGTCCGTAGACCAAATGGTTTCCGAGTGATAACTAAAGAACCCTTAGGCCTAGGAACTTCAAACTTGGTATGGTGATTGGTCATGACAAGTAGATGACCCCTATTGATTTTGGGGTCAAGGGGTCAAAGGTCAAGGTCACATTGACCTTGTAAGCAAAAAACGGTTTCCGATCAATAACTAAAGAAACCTTAAGGCCTAGGAACTTCAAACTTGGTATGGTGATTTGTCATGATCAGTAGATGACCCCTATTGATTTTTGGGTCAAGGGGTCAAAGGTCAAGGTCACATTGACCTTGTAAGCAAAAACAGTTTCCGATCAATAAGTAAAGAACCTTAAGGCCTAGGAACTTCAAACTTGGTATGGTGATTGGTCATGATCAGTAGATGACCCCTATTGATTTTGGGGTCAAGGGGTCAAAGGTCAAGGTCACATTGACCTCTTGGGTAAAAACGGTTTCCGATCAATAGCAAAGAAGAACCCTTAGGCCTAGGAACTTCAAACTTGGTATGGTGATTGGTTATGACCAGCAGATGACCCCTATTGATTTTGGGGTTAAGTGGTCAAAGGTCAAGGTCACATTGACCTTGTAGGTAAAAACGGTTTCCGATCAATAACGAAAGAACCCTTAGACCTAGGGACTTCAAACTTGATATGGTGATTGGTCATGATCAGTAGATGACCCCTATTGATTTTGGGGTTAAGGGGTCAAAGGTCAAGGTCACATTGACCTCTTAGGTAAAAACAGTTTCCGATCAATAACTAAAGAACCCTTAGGCCTAGGAACTTCAAACTTGGTATGGTGATTGGTCATGATCAGTAGATGACCCCTATTCATTTTGGGGTCAAGGGGTCAAAGGTCAAGGTCACATTGACCTCTTAGGTAAAAACAGTTTCCGATCAATAAGTAAAGAACCCTTAGGCCTAGGAACTTCAAAACTTGGTATGGTGATTGGTCATGACCAGCAGATGACCCCTATTGATTTTGGGGTTAAGGGGTCAAAGGGCAAGGTCACATTGACCTTGTAGGTAAAAATGCTTTCAGATCAATAACTTAAGAACCCTTAGGCCTAGGAACTTCAAACTTGGTATGGTGATTGGTCATGACCAGCAGATGACCTATTGTTTTCAGGGTCAAGGGGTCAAAGGTCATATAACATTGACCTTGTAGGTAAAAACGGTTTCAGATCAATTAACTAAAAACGCTTAGGCCTAGGAACTTCAAACTTGGCATGGTGATTAGTCATGACCAGCAAATGACCCCTATTGATTTTGGGTCAAGGGGTCAAAGGTCAAGGTCACATCGACCTTGTAAGTAAAAACGGTTTCTGATCAATAACTTAAGAACGCTTAGGCCTAGAAACTTCAAACTTGGTATTGTGATTTTTCATGACCAGCAGATTACCCCTTTTGAATTTTGGGATCAAGGGTCAAAGGTCAAGGTCTCATTGACCTTGTAAATAAAAACGGTTTCTGATCAATAACTAAAGAACGCTTCGGCCTAGGAACTTCAAACTTGGCATAGTGATTGGTCATGATCAGCAGATGACCCCTATTGATTTTGGGGTCAAAGGTCAAGGTCACATTGACCTTGTATGTTAAACGGTTTCGGATCAATAATAAAAGAACCCTTAGGCCTAGGAACTTCAAACTTGGCATGGTGATTAGTAATGACCAGCAAATGACCCCTATTGATTTTGGGGTCAAGGGGTCAAAAGGTCAAGGTCACATTGACCTTGTAAGTAAAAACGGTTTCTGATCAATTAACTAAAAACGCTTAGGCCTAGGAACTTCAAAACTTTGTATGATGATTGGTCTTGACCAGCAGATGACCCCTATTGAGTTTTGGGTCAAGGGGTCAAAAGTCAAGGTCATGACCAGTAGATACTTGATAACCCTTATTAATTGTTTGATCACTGGGTCAGAAGTCATGCATAATTACCTTATCACATGAATAATTGGCTGCTGATAGGGGGCATACATGTTTTACAAACATATCTTGTTAATCATGACTTTGTAACAATTGTGACGATTATTATATTTACAAATTTTTTAAAAAATTGGTAAACTTTATATTAATCAGGGGATTTTTAAAACCTTTCGTGATTTTTGTTACAGGATTTAACGTAGCGGGAGGAGGAGCTTAAAAAACCCCACGGGTTTACGGGCAAAAAAACCCAAGGAAAAAATTCCCTACGGAGGGAGAACAAAAAATTTCGGGGGAAAGGAGAATTAAAATTTTTTAAAAACGTGAATTTAAAATATTTTTGATTCTTCAAACAGATCATGCACAAACCAATGCCAAATAAACGGCGGGGAAAATTTAAGAAGAGTCGACTTCAAAAAGTGTTGAAGTCTGGGAGTAAATCTATTAGTGAACCTTCTGGTTAGTGTACATTATAACTTCAAAATTAAGGTTTGAAGTGGAAAAATGTTAAAAATTTTTGTAATTCTGTAATTGACCCCTTTTATTCTGGATTTTAGTAAAATTGGGAAAAGGCCATTCTGTCAATTTGGGAAATTTAAAAAGGGGGTTTATTTGGGAAATTTAAAACCATTGGGTCTATTTAAAGGTGGTAAAAAAGGGGGTTAATTTTTTACCCCCTTGATCTTAGATTTTAATTTTATTTTGGAAAAAATGTTTGAAAGTTGAAAAAGATGATCTCAACTTGTGTTCAGAAAAAAACATTTTTTTTCTTTTTAACCCGTGTGTAAATTTTTTGTTTACTGAAAAAAAAACATTCATAAAACCTTTATACAGTTTTTTTACGTATTTGAAAAAGGTTTTAGGGTAGAAAAGCTTTAATATTTATTTTTCGGGGTTATTATCATGTTAAAATGTAAAAATGTGAAAAAGTTAAAAAAAAGGGATTTTAATGACTGGGCAGTATTTGACCCCAATTTACTGTGTACAAGTATATCAGATATTGATGATATTACTATTTTATTTGTTTCCAGATTTTCGACACAATATAACAGTACAGAAGGAAGAGACTTCCCCTTATCATGACAGAGTGTTGAGTCCTGAGAGTCCCCAGCCCCAGTCACCCAATCACCCACCCAGACTTCGTGCAATAGCTTGTAAGTTTTCACATTTTCTTAGCTGAGCGCTTAGCTCCATAAGGAGAGCATCAGATTTGTAACCTAGAGGTTGCTGGTCCGATCCTCGAGCAAGGCGAGATAACTCTGTGACAATAGTTCTGGGACAGTGAGTCTGATCCTCATGTGCTGTTTGGAAATCATGTTAGATTAATCATGTGAGATTAGTAGTCAGTCATTTGAGGAGAAATTGCTAATTACTGGTTAAATATCCAGGAAAGTCGGTTAAATACACTGGCAGCTGGGATATGACAAAAAATGTGTTAAAAAAGTGGCTTGAAGACCAAATAAAAAAAGAAACAACAAAAAACCAATCATTTTCAGTCCTTGCATTGCATTGGAAGGAAGGGTCAACATGGCTAAGTGGCTAAGGTCTGTGTGCTTAGTAGATAAGGTCTTTGGGCTTAGTGGCTAAGGTCTGTGATTTCGGATCATATTCCCATCATTCTGTGGTTTTAAATGTACAGCTGTCTTTGATTTTTTCGTGTGAGGAAACTGCTCAAGTACCTCAAACAAGGTTGGTGGTTCTACTATTAGGTTTCTGAGTATTTGACCATTACATTTGTGCTGTTGCTTAACGTGCTACAAAATATTAATTACTAAAATTAAACAAAATATTAAATGAATTGCATAAAAGATATAAACTTATGAAACTTTGCATGACATAACTAGAAAAAATAGAATTAAATTCGAAGATGTAACTTATTATTAAAGGAGATAGTTTGAATGACTCACCAATAATGTGGAAAATAAAGTAAGACTGAAAACAAGAGTAAGCTTGGTTCATTTGTTCATGATTGTTAAGAGCTGCATACAGGGTTTTGAAATTTAGATGTTAAATTTTTATTTCAATGTAAATATAAGACAATGAATTTGCATTATATCCATGAGCATAACAGTAATTGTGTTCTTTGTAAAAAAATTATTTTGGATAAAATTTCAGACCCAGCCGATGCCATAAAGGGTAAAACATGGGGACCAAGTTCGGTACAGAAGGACCGACGACAACGTACATCTGTGATACTTTCTGATGGGCGGTGGTCACAAAGTGCGCCCAGTTTGGAGAAAAACCTCCGCCATCTTGGTGGAGGACATTCCAATATTAGTGCTCTGCAGGAAATGTGTACGTACTATAAAGATAATTTTTGAATGACTCTTTTTACCTTTAGCTTCCTTGCGGGAACTGATTCGACTCATGCAGCCAGTGCAGACCAAGATCATCCAGCACATCTGTGCCGTCTGATCATGATCCGTACTGTTTGCTATTCAATCAGTACTAATTATTATTTTTCCCCCAAAATGATGAATGGTTTTATCCAACTTGAAAGATAGACAAGTCGATTTTCAGATATTTAGCATTGTGAGGGGTTTAGAACACTCCCACTCACCCAGTAAAGTGTTTTACCTTGGCATGACACTTGGTTTCGGTCTTCTGGCCATTTTCTTTTCTCATTAATCACTGTGTCTTCAGAGGCCGAACGGAAATACATAAATCTAGCATAGATCATTTCTGAATTATTTCCCTTTGTAAACATATTTAAAAAAAATTGTTTGGCTTTTGTTTTACTGTCCACATCACAGAACATTTGAGAACTTTGTCCTGTCTGCTCTTGTAAAGTTTGTGTTTCTATTCTTTCAAATAAAAGAATATTTATAAAATAATTCATGAAAATGTATTTTATTGGATTTCTTATTTCTGTTTTAATGACCAAAATATTTTTCAAAATAAAATCTAATGGTTTATTTCCTTCTGTATGCATAGATTTAATGTTACATACATGAAATTGATACAAAGATACTTTGTTCTTGAAAAATTTGGAAGTATGAATATGATTTAAACATTTTATGAGCGGTGGCATGGCTGAGCTGTAAACATTGCGGTTTAGTATTTTAAGTATGGCTGGCTGCCTGGTTTCAGACCCTGTCAGTGGCTTGCTGTTGTTTTCTTGAGAAAGAAACCTATATGTAGTGCTTAGATTAACAATATAAACTTATTACTTACATATTTCAGATGGTGACGAGGAATCATGGCCGTCAGATCTCAGTGAAACACAACGCAGACACATTCCAGGCCTATCAAAGACGTTACCAGCAGATACGGGTAGTCTACGACGCTCTTTGTCATCCAGTAAAATAGGCTCTGCTCTTTACAACATGGCCTCCATTTTTGCAGGCGTTGGAGCCGGTTTTGACATTAAGCTCTCGAATTCGATAGGAATGCATCCGAATGTGACAGGTGCTATTGATTCACAGACAACAAATCCGGAATCATTTATTCTGAACAGGAGGGACGCGCATAATTCAGCAGTGCGCGATATGTTTATCGAGCCTGAAATTGATTACAATTTTTACTCGGCCACAGGCTCGGGGAGTAACACCTATCATGGACGCCAAACGAAATATAGGCCGAGTATACAAGATATTCCTTTGAAATTCACTGATAGAACTTCTTTAAATAGATCGCCAGTTGTCCTTGAAGAGGACGATAATACCTCAACAGTGAAGTCAACAGCCACTCTTATTCCACGAGCCTCTCCACATCATAGACTTTCAATGACCGAGAGTGACGATGGTACGATAACCAATATGTCTCAGGATGGGCTGTTGTCTTCACATTATGGACTTACTCGACAGTTATCCGAAAGTAGTTATAGTTCTGACGCTTCTCGGACAACTGTCCGTTCAAATCGGCATTCAGTGACTTTTGAAGATGAGTTTAATGTAACAAATCGTGACGAAAGATTTAAATCACCATCGGATACCTCAGAAAATTCCAGTCCTTACCATGAAACGCCTGTTGCTCCACCTCGTAGATCTAAACTCATTAACGGTGGACCAAAAGTTGCGGAGAAGCCAAAAAATGTGGAGAGGCCAAAAACATTAGACTTAGCTAATGCTAAACCAGGTATTCTCAAATCCAGCTCAACTCATTCCTCGTTACGAGAATCCGATTCTCGAGAGTCGCCGAGAACAACTTGGGTGACGCCCTCGGAATCGGCTGACCACACTCCATACTGGTCAACGCGGTCGGGAATGTCGCCCGGCAACACACCTCCACATATTCTGCACCAGAAAACTCTCCTTGATATTGACATGGAGGGACAAAATTTGGATCCTACACAACCCCTCCTAATTCCAAAGTCTCAGTCAAATCGACAAACTATACAAGACTTAGATACAGAATTTAGTCAAAGATTGTGATAGAAAATCAGTTTTATTTGTATTCCCAATGAAATATTTATCTTAACTACACAAAGCAATATGTTACAAGACGGTTATTATTTTAGAAGAAATCTTTTATCGTAGTTGTAAATGTGACACAAGTTTTTATTACTTATTACAAAGATTGTAACTGTGATTTTAAAGTATGTTTTGGAACTTGATTCGTAGTCCTTTACTTAAACTGAAGTATTTTCTTTTTAAAAATAAAATAATGTTAGATAACAGCCTTGAATTCAAGATAGATTTTCATATATAGTTAACATAGTGGGAAATAAGTAGAATCAAACAAAACTGAGATTTTACTCATCCCAATTCAGGGCACTTATTTGGCAAACTAGAATCTGTTCCATTTACTTTAACCACATATTCCATTGTAACGGTTAAATTGATAAATGATTTTTTGAATGGTTAAAAAAAATTAATATATATAATTATATGAAAAAATATTTTAGAAATTAGATATTACAACATTTCTCTTTACGTGATTTTTTAAAATTTAACTCTATTATTAAAAGTAAGTAGTAAATATTGTGCTTTAGATGAGTTAAAATTTCACAGCTTTATTTAACATGAAAAGACTTTTTAGAACTTGAAATTCAGGCAAAAGAAATACAAGTCACATGTTTAAAAAAAACAAAAACAGTAAAATTTATGGGAAGGTATATGAAAATATACTAAGAGAGTGGTAAACGTCAACTATTGTATTCTCTTAAAAGCATCACATTCCAAAAAACCATATTATTATCCAATCAAAAGTGTGTAAAATGATACATTATACTTGTATCAAAGCCTGGAAGACTTCACCAAAACGGTTTTAAAGTTTTATGCCATACATACATATGAGTGCCAAATGTTAATTGATAAGTTTTCATAATATATAAGTTATTGGAAGAATTGGCCAGCACCAGTTATGAGTATTTTATGGTGTTATTTTATGATACGGAAAAAAAATAACTTTTGAACTTACAAGACAGTATCTTGAAAATAATGTAAGTGTATGGTTTATTAATCATTCATTGACCTATTGATAAAAATTTGGGTTTTAAATCCTACATATTAGGAAAGATAAACATATTCATATTAACAATTTCGCCTTCATTTTTATTTTGCAAATATTTAGTGGTTGCTGGCCTAGTCTTTAAGAAGAAAAAAAAGTGCATATTATAAATGATAAACATAATTTTTGCTTGCAAGGTTGTCTTCCACTAAATTTTAAGTGTTGTTTGTTTGGAAATCTTGATATTATTGACTTTGTGACGACAGTATGAATTATGTCACACGACAGGGTTTTTTTTTTTCGTGTTTTTTTTTTATCGTTATTGTAAGAATAATTCCAGATGTGTTTCTGCCGATTATATATATTTAGAATCCGTAAACTGGAGAATTATTTTTTATTTCTTTTCGAAGCCATTTGAGAGATTTATGTCATATTGGACATTATTTTATATAGGCCAGTGGTTTAATGTAAGCTTGTAGATATCGTGAAGATCCGTAGTGGCAGCCTGCCTTCCATTTTTTGATATGAAAATCAATTTTGCTGTATTATTTGGCTAAAAATAACAACATTTTCTCTTTATTTCTGGCTGTGTACTGCTTCATTATATTGTCTCACTCTTGAAATCAGCAATACAATGTTTTAAGGCTTTTCATTTTTAATATAGGAACATTTTTTGATGATTTTCACACACACAAAAACTTAGAATCTATTTATAGGAAAAAAAAACAACAGATTGGTTTCTCTGTTTGGTTAATTTAGTGGTTTCAAACCTCAAATCTGTTTCCTACAGTAAGGTAACTGCCATTTTTTTTGTTCAAGTGACATTTTTTTCTCCCTCGAAATTTAGCTCTCAAAACACTTTTTTTCAGCGAATAGTTTTACATGTATTTATTAGTGTAAAGTTTCAAGAGGTTACATATTACACAGCATTCCTTTATTGAATTATTTATATAAAGACAAAAAAAGCAAATAGTTATCCATTTCAAGAGCTAAGTGCAAAAAGGTCAGATCCAAAAGAATAAAACCAATGCTGCAACCCATTAGGTTAAATCTCTTGATTTCCCCAGTAGTATGAATTTTTGTTTTCCGACCCCCAACAGTTGAATATGTGAAAAGATGTATATAAATATTCATATTATAAATTATTATTATTTTTCAAAGTATCTCATTATGATTTCAGTTCCAGTCATATCAAATATTCTATCGTAATAACAAAGATTGTAATACATGTGTTTGTTTGTTGTTTTTCTTTTTTTATTTTTAACCATAACTATTTGTTTAAAAATGCTTATTTATATATATGATAGCAAATTCCTATTAATTCTTGTACAGCTTTTTATATATATATATATATTTCATGTACTCTATTTTTATGAAGAAAAAAACCCCAACTTAATTTTAATAATAAATTGTATATTGTACACTAAACCCTGCTTTGTAAAATTGTGTATGAGAACAACAACAACAACAACTTGAAGTTGATATATGTAGGAAATGCTCTCTTTTTACATTACAATAAGGCCTTGTTTTCAAAGAAAAAAATATCCATTACCCTCTTAAAGATGCTACGCCAGAGTTTAGAAGCCGTAAGAATAACAGTTTTTAATTATTTCATAGATAATCTCGGGAAACTTAAAAAACAGAAAAATATGTTAAAGATAATTAAGTAATAAATTGAAAATTGATATATTTTTATGAGATTCTTAGGCACATTAGAGTTAAAAGCATTTAATCTCTTTTTATTATTTTTTGGGGTCATTTTGCTTAATGAAAAAGAATATTATGAATAAAATGGAGTAAGTGAATGATCTGAAATGTCTTGACCTTTAACCCACAAAACCAGCTTTTGAATTTAAGTTTTTCATTAGATAATTATCTTAACTTACCTCAGCCCAACTTAGCTGAAATTCTAATGGCTTTACTTTAGGTGAGCATGAATACTAAAGAATTCCAATAAGATAAGATATTGTTTATTATTGTGACATGTATTTGAGTACATTACAATAACATAACATATAAGGACAAAAAAAAATTGTCATCAGTACAATCAAATGAAGCCAATATTTAAAAAGAAGAAACGAGCAGCCTTAGTGTGAAATATTGATGTTATTTAATATAAGGTCATCCTAGGCTTCTATCTTTGTTATTATTTTTTTTCCCTCAACTATATTATCTTGAACCCGTTTCTAAAAGTCATTAAGTATGCATACATTTCAATAGCTGGTTCCTAGCCCTGTGATTTATCTTAACCAAATATCCATGTTTATAAAATCTTGTGAATATATATGCACTTTGTACAATACACACTCTCACACACACATTCATGTTATTTACAAACCATGTTTAATGCTACACCAATTAATTTCATGTTCTGTTGTGTTTTTTCCCTCCCTTTATCTATCTCAAGTCTGGTTGGTTTTTTTTGTTGTCGTCTGTTCACACTGCTGAATCTCTATTGTCAAAACTGATGGGCGTAAACAAACTTGCCATAATCCTTTTTGTTTAGGGTCTTTGGATGTGCAACCATTGCTTAAATTTGTCTGTTAAACCCTAAGACACAGGTATATTTGTATAACGAACTTCTCTAGCTTTTGAGTTTGGATTGAACCATTGCTAATGTTACATTTTATATCAAAATGTTAAAACTAAGCAGTAATTTACACGGGTCAATTTTGGTCAGACAGCACAAAGGTGTGCCTATACTAGTGATATACATGTAGGTCTGTCTTAATGGCTGTTAGAATTCTTGTTACCCTTAACCTGCTGAATGGACTTATCCATAATTGAACATGAAACAGTCCATTCAAAGTTTTAAGGGATTTCAGGATTAAAATACAAAAAAATTAAGATGCAAAAAGTACAAAGCCTTTTCTGACTGCATGGATATACAGGCTAGCTTGGGTTTATAATGTTAACAAAGGCTAATCACTTTTGGTTCCAGTAGATTAAAGGTTAGGTTCAATTTGTGCACTGTGCCAAGCTGTTAAGTTGAGGAAGAAGTCCATTTTCCAATTTAAAGAATGTCAGGATTAAGAGAGAATAGTCTATATTTTGAATGTATAAAGTTACTTTCGATTACAGAGATAGTGTTGATAAGCCTTTCTTGGTGTAATACCCTTATTGTAGACTCAATTAACTTCATATTTCACATTTAACAATTGAAAAATGAAATTCTGCATAATGACTGTGATCTTGAACATAAACTCAGATTTGACGTAATTTCATGTGTGTCAGTTTCTGATTTCTTATACATTTGTATTTATTGAAATCGGACTTGAATTACTATGTCAAGATGACTTAAAACTTTCAGTATAATGGCAAATACAATATAGTCAAGTTTTGAAAATCATAGGAATTTTTTTTCAAAGGTATTAATTGACTGCTTAAATTGCATTTTTTTCTATCCTTCGGAAAATGGCACTTTCACAAAATTTTTGTTAAATTTACTATCAATATCTATACTAAATCAAAATGTTCAATTCAAAGAAGCATATTGTGACAGTATTTAATGAAATAAAGCATAAATGGCCTTGTTATGTTTTCTGTATTATTTGTTAACATGATACTGCCTATTTTGTAGGTTCTTTTTAAATGGTGAATTTATGAAAATTCCTTCATTTTCATGTTTTTATCAAATTCACCTTGAAGTAATGGATCAATTTATACAGGGTTTAAGACGACACTTTTGTAATTTTTTCTTTGAAAATTCCAAGTTTAGACTCTGCAACATTGTTTTTATATTAAAATGAAATGTATATGCTCGATTTAAGTATGACCTTGTTTTGACACTGTTTCAGTGTTATAACATAATTAAGACACTGTCACATTGTTCTGATACTGTTGTGTCGTTTTGACACTGGTGAATTGTTACAGGACTGTTACATTGTCATAATGCCCCAACAATGCTATGACACAGTTTCATAATTATGACACTGTCACATTGTTTTCTGACACTGTTATGACAGTGCTGCAATTTTATAACATTATTGCCATTGTTTTTACACTGTTACTGCTGTAAGACACTGTTGCATTGTTATGACACTGTTATGGCATTATGGCACTGGTTGCATTGTTATGACACTGTTACAGCATTATGACACAGTTATATTGTTTTGATACTGTTACACTGTTATGGTATTTTGACACTGTTGCATTGTTATGACATTGTTACACTGTTGCACTGTTATGACACTGTTACATTGTGTAGGACACTGTTGCATTGTTGACATTGTTATGGCATTATGACACTGATGTTATGTTATGACATTGCAACAACTATATGACACTGGATGCATTGAAACTCTATCATAGAATTGACTATATTACTGTAGACACAGCTGGGTTGAGTTTATTTGTATTGATCTTAGGGTAAATTATAGATGAAATATGTGCAATCCTCTGGAAGAAGTATGACTCCCTGATTTAACAGTCTTATGTGTATGATTTTATAGCCTGCTAACGTGATATATTTGTACTCTTTCTCTTTGTAGCTTCAATATTATATATATATATATTTGTTAGTTGTTACATTATTCTATAAGTATATATATTCTACACAATTATTGTGCATTTTTGTGATGTGAACTGTATACTCTCCTCTGTGTAACCCCCACCCACTTTTTCTTACGAAAATAAATCCAGATTTTTTTATTTACAAGGGCGTGTCCCTTGTCTGGGTCTGGGAATAAAGTATAAGGTAAATTAAATGAACTAAGAAATGGGAGTTTTAGATGTACATGAAAAATATTCATATTACTTACAATATTGATTTTTTTCCAACTTTTTATAATACATAATTTTGAGCATATGGTCTTTTTTGGGGGGTTCAGTGATTTAATAAGAAATTCAGCAAGTCTGGAACTTTAGAGATTATAGGTTTCCTGAAAGTAAAATCTATTTATAACTTTCACTCCAAAAAATGTTTCTTTATTTTCAGACAAGTTTTATTATACTCATTTCTAACTTATTTTTAAATGTTACTATGTCTACATAGTATGTTACAGAAATTTCTTTTCCGCATGGACCAAAATTTTTTTTTCTGCTGTGGGTTACAGGGAGGAGAAATACAATATTCTGTGGACAGTGTATGTTAAGTGTTATGTTATGTTGTCATTCATATTAATGAAGGTTAAATGTGGCCAAATATTCCTGCAACGACTTGCTATTTGATGCCTTTTGTAACGTCATGTGTTCAAAATTAATCTGCGTGTCAAAACCATGTTCTTATTGAGAAAATTTCATGTGAAATTATCAATATTAAGAAAAATTATTTAAATTTGTTTGATTTCTGCACTGTCAGTATAAAGGAATGATGAATGATATTTTAACTGAATCTTAAATTGCCTAGTTAAGAACATTTGTATACAGGAAACAAAAATGGACTTTTAAAAAAGACTCAAAAGTATTTTATATGAATGAGTGTACACAAAAAAATACTTGTAAATTTTATTCCCTTTTCTAAAATTTCAAAATTTAGGCATTTATAGACCTGAAAGCGTAACTAGGCAATTTTAGATCGTTTAAAAAAGTAATCACTAACCTTGTATTGAACATCAGTCTTATAAGCAGTTTAGGGTATCTTACCAAAGTCCAGCATTAAATGTCATTTAATACACAGCACAAAGCTTTACTGTCAAGTGCACAATGTTCCATATTTAAAACTTGGATTCGTCACAAATTAACAGCAGTTTGAAAAAAAATAATCTGATTTATTTTTGCACAAGGTTTTTAGTCTCTGCTAACTGCTTAATATTTACAACCTTATTCTGTTATATGCCTTTTCTAGATTATTATGTAACATTCATATAATATATTACCATTTAAACTTGGTAAGATACCCTAATATGTATAGCTGGTGACTGTACAATTCAGATATCCTATATCCTATATATATATATATAAGAAATCATTGAAATTGTAGAAATCATTGAAATTTTTCTATCAAGATTGGTATATTAATTTTTTCTATATGTACTGGTACTCATTTATCTTTTCTTTTTTCTGATATATATGATTTTCCTGTCTATGTACTGGTATATGTTGAAAATGTTAATATATGTATTGGTATATATCAAGTTTTTTTCTTTTCAATAAGTAATGGTATATATATTGAAAATATTCAATTTGCATTGGTATATATTGATTTTGTCTATATGCACTGGTATGCATTGAAAATGTTCAAAGTGCATTGGTATATATGGATTTTATCTATGTGTACTGGTATATATTGAAAATATTCAATGTGCATTGGTATATATGGATTTTATCTGTGTGTACTGGTATATATTGAAAATATTCAATGTGCATTGGTATATATGGATTTTATCTATGTGTACTGGTATTTTTTGAAAATGTTCAATTTGCATTGGTATATATACAGTTATTTCTGCATACTGGTACTGATTTAATATGACAATTTATTCTTAGATCTGTTCACAAACACTATGAACAAAACAACTGGCTGATCAAATAAAAAGTCAACAAAGATACTGATGTTTGTTTTCAATTTTAATTATCACATAATTTCATTTAATTGGTACGATGTCAATGTGGTAACAAAAACATTTTTTTTTCAACAAAATCAAAATAAGCAAATTCATTGAATTGATATCCCCAGCTGTAAGATACACATGGTTCATACAGGCCTTAATTTCAGCAATAGTCTTAAAAAAAGACCCAAAAGCTTACTTAGCCTTACACAAACCTTAAAAGGTCCTTGATAACTGTGTAGAAAACGACTTGGGCCAGTGAACTGCAAAATTTGTTTTTTGCAGTATATTTGATGCAAACTTCAGACGGGCGATTCTATAATATGAACCCCATAGGCGTGGCAATATACGCCCAAATGTAACTAAAATTTAAAGAAATCTAAAAATAATTTTTAAACAGATTTTTTAACATGTTTTATTTCAATTAGTAATATCTATACTGATACATGGCAAAGATCTATGCTCTTGTCAAATGAATAAATAATAAGTACATTGTAATCTCTCTTTTTAATATAAACACTTACATAAGGCAGATTTCACAAGTGTTAACTGTTACTTAAGTCAGCGAGAGAAGTGGCATGTTGCAAAGGACACGGATGCCCCCACTGACAACATATATATGGTATATAGTGAAAAAATTAACAAAGGGCCATAATTCTGTTAAATTTGGTTGCATCAAAAATTCCTTCCTTTACTACCATCTACACATTAAGGTTGTTCATCCCTGGAAGTTTAAGCAAAATCTGCCATCCGGTTTAAGAGGAGTTGCGTTCACAAAATTTCTACTTAGTATATAGTGAAAAAATCAACAAAGGGCCATAATTCTGTTAAATTTGGTCGCAGCGAAAATTCCTTCCTTTACTACCATCTACACATTAAGGTTGTTCATCCCTGGAAGTTTAAGCAAAATCTGCCATCCGGTTTAAGAGGAGTTGCGTTCACAAGATTTCGGGACAGACGGACGGACAGACAAGTGCAACCCTATATGCTCCCCACTTTGGGGGGCATAAAAACCAAATACAGGGCAAAGCTTTCGGCGTCCAAGAAGATCTGGATCAAACGGAAAGACAAGGAGAGAAAAAGAGCAAAACAAATCAAAACTGAATCCTTATCAACGAAAAAAGAAATCCATCATGGATACAAGAATGAGTATATATGCAGTGCTATTTCAAAGGAAATAACTCCACCAACAAATTCAGCTAGTACCAAAATCCCTTGGAAACTTCATCAATCCCCAAATAAACAAAGGACTGCAAGAGCTAGCTCAGAGTCTTGATAAAAAAAAGAATGCATTTTAGCTATGTTCTTAAGATATTTTACTTTACTTTACAGCATCATGCTGTACAGCAACCATTACTGCTGTTGGCATGTCACAAAATACAAGTAATTGTAAGTTTTTGTTTTATGTTTTCAAATCATTTTTTGATAATTTTGAAATTAAAGTGCATAAATAGAAAGATAAAGGTAAAGTCACTAAATAATTTTATTGATACAGAAGGGTTTGTGAAGACCATTTAATTTTTGCCATTTGGTAGTAGCTAATGACTTTTTTAAAATTATTTTCTTAAGTAATACAACTTACATTCACTTTAACCCCTGATGAATACATTTATTGTAGCAACATTGACAGAACAGCACAAACCGACACAGCCAAGTAAAAGGAAGAAAACAGTAAAAGAACAAATAGACGAGCAAACCCTAAAAAATTTAAAGCTTGATAACCAAAGACTTGAAAACCAAATAAAAAAAGGATGAACAGGATTTAATAAGAATACAAAATGAAAATCAATTACATAAAAGCCAACTTCTATATTACTTGTTAAAACTTCAAAAGGAATTCAAGGAGAATGTTCTGTCAGTAAGGTAGGTTATATAACATCGCCGAGTGTATCACAACATGCTTACAGTCTAGACATTGAAGAAAAAGAAATAGGAAAATGCACTGTTAGAAAGAAGGTAATATTGCTTCATTGGATGGGTTACAACTCTGATAGTTCTGAAAAGGACAGTACAACGGGAAACGGATATTGAGAATGGTGAAATACCAGCCTTCTAACCAGGTCCTTTACGAACATTCATGAATACGAAACAAATTGTTAACAAACTTGAGGATATCCTGTAAGTTTAGAGGAAATACAATACGTTGTTCAATGAAGTGTTTAACTGCTGAAGCAACATTTAAAAAGCAATAGGATACAGGGTTCTAGCCAGGGTATTAAAGCATGTCGCGTGCCACATGCCTTACTGCACTGAGTTATAATTGTGTCAACCCCTTATTTCCCCGACAACCCTTAATTTTCAAAGAAACAGTTGAATAATCCGTCAAAGACAAGGCATGTGCTGTCACGCTCTACCTGTAAATCTGTGTCAGCGACTGGGTGCGCTCAACCAATGGAAACGTCCAATATTAAACGTGTGACATATTAATTTTCTTTAGACCTCTGTAGCCCCGTATCGTATACAACTAAAAGTAATTATCACCAATATTTTTTTTTTAAGAATGCTTAATAAATGTTTTAGCAAATGGATATTTCAAAAGCTATGACGGCAATAAAAATGTACACAAGAAATAATTTTCACTACATGTATTTCAAGTATAAACTTTAATTGTGCATGGTTACGCCATGTTACCTTTAGTTTAAATAATAAATATGAGTAAGACAAAGAGAAAGATGGATAATAATGGTTCATGACTAGAAAGTCGTGGAGACACAGTGTTACAGTAGTTATTTAACAAATACAAAGCTGGGGTGTTTTTGCTTGTTCCGGCTTCTTCAGATAATTGTTGCGACTTAGAAAAGTTACGTCCCTTGTTGTAGCCTGGTTTTGGGCAATCTTGCATGCTGCATTGCAATTCTTATTTGCAAAGATTTTCTGCATTTTCTTGGTGACATGCATCTCGGTCAACCCAAAGAGGTAATTAATAGTATATAACTAGTTTTTTAACTGTTTTTCCATCGTACTCAAAACCAATCAAATTTTACTGATTTTTGTGACAGTAAACAAGTTGATCTATTTTCTGATGGTTCAATTTTCAGACATGACTTTATATTGTAACACTTTCAGTTGATAAACATTTGAATCTAAGGGTTAAGAATTAACGCTCAAACATTATTTTGTCTCTTATTTCAGTTTTGACATAGATAGATTAGATGAAGATGCGATAATTAAAGCTTCAACTACAAATCTTTAGTTCTTCTCTTGGGTCAAGTCACCTTCTTGCGCGCATGTGGTTTTTAGTGCTGTTACAGTCAAAACTCTGTGGTTCCAAGCCAGCCTGATGTTCTTCACAACCTTTGCTGATTAATAGAGATATTTTAGAGATAATAAAATCAAATGAGTTACAAACGGCTCCAAAAGAACAATGCTTAGTACAAGAAGCTAAACGTTCTGCAAATTTATAATGGAAACCTTGAGTTATAATTACAGATAGCAAAGGGAGATACCTCCGTCAGGCTGGTGACCCAGCAGATAGAATAGAAAATAAAATATTGTGGTAAGGTAGGAGTGGTTTTAGCTCTACCAATGCTGTTGACTTTCTTACAGTTGAAAAAAATTACCTCTTTGCTAAAGTTCCACAGATTCATTAGCTTGTATGTTTGGCTCGGGACTTGCCACTTTACAAGTAAAGGTAAAAGTTCATTCAGCTGAAGAAACCAACAGACAAGTTAATCAAATTATTCTGTGATTATTTGAAAACAATTAAAGAAAGATGTCCTATCAAGAATTAAGTTAACATTGATACATGTTCCATATTATTCAAATCAGCTGTGGAATGAGAAAAAGGGCTATAAGAACCCGGAAACTGTCAAAGAAGATGAAAAGAATTATCCTGTTTAATAGACAATGTTTACAAATACATTGAGTATTTGGGGAGACAATATGTGAGCCAATAAGAGAAGAGATTCAAAATTCTGTGTATTACAGCATCATGGTAGATGAAACTACAGATGTGTCACATGTCAATTACTTCTGTATGTAAGGTACATCAACGATGGAAAAAGTAAAACTGTGTTTTCAGAGACAGTCGGTATTCCCAATGGTAAAGATGACACAATCAAGGATGCTATCCTCGCATTCCTACACAAGAACCAATTCCCCTTTCACAAACTTTGTGCATCTGGAAGTGATGGTGCTGCAGTAAAGATTGGAAGAAAAGGTGGAGTCAGCATGTAACTTAAGACTTAATAGTCCAACATCTTATTTCTAACCATTGTGTAGCTCATCACTTGGCCCTAGCTGCTGCACAGGCTGCTTCTGGTATAAGATATCTGGTCAAATTTAAGAAGATAATTGAGCAGATTCTACAATTATAGTGCTGTACGAACAGCACCTCTGAAGGAAATCCAGGTACACATTTATTATTATTGTTCATTGATATTTTAACGATACTTCAGCAATATTCCAGAAGAATTTAATTATATTGATGAAAATGTGGCAGTTTGAGTATGTGGCTAAATATACCGACCCTCAAATGCATAGGAATACGAAATTTCAAGTTTAGGAACTATGTGTATATTAAAACAAAGCCTAAAGTTACTGACACCTTGAAAAAAAACAAAAAAAACTTTCTCACTATACTAAGATGCACATAGTAAAAAAGAGTTGGAAAAAAGAAGATGGCGATTTCAAAAAGCAACACTATAAGAAGCAATTGAAGAATTATAATTATAATGAAAATCAAATAAATAAACCAAATGTGAATACTGCAGATCAAGAACTGGCACTACTAGGACATGACAAGGTATCATGATTTTGTGCAGTATGTTCAATTAAAGAAAGGGGCAAAAAACACTGAACTTATGCCAAGTTATTCTAAAACCCTTTGATGCTTGACAAAGTTACAGCCTGGACACGATTGTGTGTACCTATTAACTCTAATTGTGATAATGTGAAACTTCAAAATGGTAGTGTGACCTTGACCTTTGAGGGAGGGACGTAATTCTTGGAAGCGATGCAATGTCTTGATGTGGTAGACTTTATGCCTAGTTATTTTAAAATCCTTCAATACATGACAAAGTTACAGTCCGGACATGAATGAAGTGGGGATGCACAGACGGACAATGCGATTTAAATATGCTGCCCTTCAGGAGCATAAAAAAGAAGTTGTTACAGTGCTGAACACAGGCAAGACATATAACTTTGGTGATTTCTTTGTGACAACTACAGTCTATAGGCAAACTGAATGTTATTTTTATTATTTCGATGTCACGAACATGCACAGAGATTTGGTTAGCAAAAAGTCAAAATGGCTGTCAAAATATATATTGCAAAGAAAATATCAATACAATTAGTTAATTTAGACTCAAACGCATTTAAAAGGTATACAGAAAAATTAGAAATTAACTCAGAAAGTCTTCAAGATCTATACAGCATAACTAACAAGAGCTGGAATGGATGCGTGAGCAGGTGGCCTGACATGCATCCTGATATTTACAACTATTTGATCAACTTCCCAGGACTTAACACACCAGATACACTTAAGACCTACAGCTCCCTGGATGGATATAATTATTTCAACAGTGGGCATGTACAAGAAGTCTTTTATTATGAGTGACCACCAGATTCAAATGTATGCATAATGAAAACGAAAGTAAGCCCATCACAGCAAATTGGGGGTAAACCTCATGAGCCATCGGTGTACATGAACAAAAATCAGGGATTTGTTGTTAGTGCCTCACTGCACATGCAAAGCTGGGGAGGTGATATTAAATACTTATGTGGTAAATAAATAATACAAGTAAGTATAACATGGAATTTTTTTAGGTTTAAACATCCTAAAGTCCTGGCTTAGAACATTAAATGTCAATCTATCTATTTTCATTATAAAAAATTTGATTATCTTCTATAATAACTACATGTTATCTCCTATATGTTTGCTATTCATCATCAACAACTAAAGCATCCAATGCATTCCTGCACCAAATTGAAGATGAATTGACACACGCTGAGAAGAAAATGCTGGTCATAGGGTCAGATGAGGAAAGTGCATGCATAGCTTCTATAGGGTAAACTACCTGCCCAACACCACTTGTGTTTTGCACCTAACATCAAAATAACAACATGAAATACATAATTATGTATATGAAGGACAGAGGTGGCTTTATCAACTGAAAGAACTCCAAAATACAACACACTGTCATATTGGTCATAAGTCATGATGACGATACCTCTACATTCAAGTAGATCAGAAAACATCACTCAGATTGTTACTAATTTTGACATTGGAAAAGTGAAAAACTACAAGAAGTACTTAACAGAGAAGTTAGTACCACTTATAAAAGGACATGTGGTAATCCCATGCAGAAGGAATAAAGTTCCGCATAACAAGACCAGCAATAATACAGAAAGTGCGAACCACACCTCTAGTAAGATAAGCTAAATGCCCGAGTTTGTTGAGACATGGTAGGAAAAAGTAGTAGGACAAAGTGGTAAGCAGAAGGTAAAAAAGAAAGCGAACAGTCCCAAACATTGGAAACTACAAACTTACCAGCACACATGCACATCATGATGTTTGTGTCTCATCATGGCCTTCCCTCACCCAATAACAGCAAGAAGGAAAGTTTAAAACACTGCAAGCCAATACCAGGAAGACAGCTAACACTGTGACAAAGCTCAATATTAATATATTTTTATAATTTTGAATTAATTTACATATTTAGGATCATTAAATTAATGGAATTTCTAATAAATTCTTAAATTATATAATTATGCTATGTAAAATTTACGTTTATACATACATATGCACATGTTTTATTGTATAAAAAAGTAATAGTCTTTTTATCTTATTGTAATATTACGTTTCAACTGACGAAGCTTAGTCTAAATAAAGCAATAACATGTATTAATATCTAAATTTGTGTTGGTTTTGATCTATTTGTCCTAATTATTTCTTACAAGCCTTCAAATCGAACTGAGATATCAAATATCTAAAGTCTTTCACCCTTTTCCATCCATGAAGGAAGAATAGACTAGTTATCTCAGAGAAGACAGGGAGGCCATTTTGTGTCAAGCGCTTGAAATTTTTGATAGACAGGTCGATTTTTCGGTGCATGATGACCAGTAACACGACTTAACGGAAGCGACCGGAACCGGAATCGACCTGTAACTTTGTTATAAATAAAGTTTTCAAGTTTTTTTCTTACATTTTTTTTATAAATGATATATATCAATGATTTATAAAAAGATTTTTGTAAATAAAATCGCTTTTGATTTTTCAAGAATAATATAAATTTAAAACATATCATATAGCTAAAGACGTTCTACATTATAACAACAATTATAATATTGCATGTTCGTTACGTCGCTTTTCATTGGATAATCATGACGTTTATATTATTACTTATAAAGATTTTTAACAGGTTATACGGCCCTATATAAATGGTTGTTTGTAAATATAACCCAAGCCGCTAGGCATAGAAACATGGAAAAAGAAGCAACTTCCCTGATGACTGTGGTGCCTGGGATGCCAGCAAAGGTTCATCCCCAATGTCCTATTATATTTTATCAGGGAATCTTGACAAACATACAGCATAAATGGTTTATATTGTTTTAAGAAACAATTTAAGGGAAAGTCGAATATTGTCCGTTTGAGCCCCAATCTGAAAAGTAGGATATCATACATATACATAGCTATTATACAGTTCTCAAATAGGACCAGACTTATAAAAAGAAAGTGACATGGCTTGGTGACGGTGGTGCCCGTAGCAATTGTGCTATTGTTGAATATGTTGGTTATTTTCCCGGACTGTGCCCTCATGGAAACTCGACAGACAATGAAGCTGAATATACCAGAATACCAAAAGAATTGATGGGAAAAAATGATACCTCACAAGATCCTAGACAAAGTGACAGCAAAATAGGACGTGTTAACTGGCCTGACAGAATTGAGACAAATTTATGATAAACAGTACAGGGAATGACAGAAAGAAAAGACAGAAGAGGGACATAAAGACAATTTTGCGGACCAGAATACAGACCTTAGAAAACAAAGTGATGGAGAAAGACCCTTTTGTAAGATCAATCATCAGAACTCGTGGACAGACAACGACTATCATACTGTTTACAGATGAACAGATTTTGGACTTGAAGAAAATGTGTTGCTCGGGAAAAACAGTCCTAAGTGTCGATAAAACATTTATGTTATGTAAAATGCATGTCACTGTTACCTGCTTTAAACAACTTTACAGAATGTGTACAAATGCATAACCCAAGATAAGCAAGCAATTTGGTAGATGCGAGAAATTTAGGTTAATATGTTGTTATTAGATATGATAAGCTGGTAATTTACAGCGATGTGTATAGATATTATGGAAATAATAATAATAATAATAAAGACTTTATTTAAAGAGAAAAAGAAGCAACTTCCCTGATGACTGTGGTGCCTGGGATGCCAGCAAAGGTTCATCCTTAATGTCCTATTATATTTTATCAGGGAATCTTTTAAATCAAACATACTGCAGAAATGGTTTATATTGTTTTAAGAAACAATCTAAGGGGAAAGTGGGATATTGTCCGTTGGAGCCCCAACCTGAAAAGGAGAATATCATACATATACATAGGTATTATACAGTTCTCAAAAAGGACCAGACATATAAAAAGAAAGTGACATGGCTTGGTGTCCGTGGTGCCCGTAGCAATTGTGCTATTGTCGAATATGTTGGTCATTTTCCCAGACTGTGCCCTCATGGAAACTCGACAGACAGTGAAGCTGAATATACCAGAATACCACCACATGTAATGGACGAGATTAAAGAATTGACGGGAAAAATGAAACCTCACAAGATCCTAGACAAATTGACAGCAAAATAGGACGTGTTAACTGGCCCGACATAATTGAGACAAATTTACGATTAACAGTACAGGGAATGACAGAAAGAAAAGACAGAAGAGGGACATAAAGACAAATATGCGGACCAGATACAGACCTTAGAAAACAAAGTGATGGAGAAAGACCCTTCTGTAAGATCAATCATCAGAACTAGTGGACGGACAACGACTATCATACTGTTTACAGATGAACAGATTTTGAACTTGAAAAATATGTGTTGCTAGGGAAAAACAGTCCTAAGTGTTGATAAAACATTTATGTTATGTAAAATGCATGTCACTGTTACCTGCTTTAAACAACTTTACAGAATAAGTACAAATGCATAACCCAAGATAAGCAAGCGATTTGGTAGATGCGAGAAATTTAGGTTAATTATTGTTACAAGATATGATAAGCTGGTAATTTACAGCGATGTGTATTGATATTATGGAAAAAGAAGCAACTTCCCTGATGACTGTGGTGCCTGGGATGCCAGCAAAGGTTCATCCCCCACGTCCTATTATATTTTATCAGGGAATCTTTTAAATCAAACATACTGCAGAAATGGTTTATATTGTTTTAAGAAACAATCTAAGGAGAAAGTGGAATATTGTCCATTGGAGCCCCAACCTGAAAGGGAGGATATATATTACCCCCAAGAAAAGAAAATTTCCGTCCACCTTGGCAGGTAGATTACCCGATTACGGCTGAGTTTAGCGAGCCTTCAGATGATGAAACGATTCCCTATGATCCAGTGAACCCCGAGGAGAGGCAAGTCCTCCATCCACCAGCAGAGACGCATGACACGGACAGAGATAGGCAAGTCCTAGATGACAAAGATTCGTAATTCTTACAGATGTCCAGTCTGTAAAGAATACTTTAAACGCCTTACACCTCACCTAAGGCGTCAACACATAGATAAAATGAAGTCCGACTATTTTTGCACGCTCTATGCAAATCATGTTAGACTTAGAGGAAGTAGAAAAGAGCATGGACGAACACATTGGTATTATACAGTTCTCAAAAGGACCAGACATATAACAAGAAAGTGACATGGCTTGGTGACAGTGGTGCCCGTAGCAAATGTACTATTGTTAAATATGTTGGTCATTTTCCCAGACTGTGCCCTCATGGAAACTCGACAGACATTGAAGCTGAATAAACCAGAATACCGCCACATGTAATAGACAAGGGGAAAAATTATACCTCAAAAGATCCTAGACAAGTTGACAGCAAAATATGACGTGTTAACTGGCCCGACAGAAATGAGACAAATTTAAGATAAACAGTACAGGGAACGACAGAAAGAAGACAGAAAACGGACATAAAGACAATTTTGCGAACCAGATACGGACCTTAGAAAACAAAGTGACGGAGAAAGACCCTTTTGTAAGATCAATCATCAGAACTAGTGGACTGACAACGACTATCATACTGTTTACAGATGATCAGATTTTGGACTTGAAAGAATATGTGTTGCTAGGGAAAACAGTCCTGTCGATAAAACATTTATGTTATGTAAAATGCATGTCACTTTTACCTGCTTTAAAGGTCATATTTAAGTTCTAAAGAATTATTAAAATCTGATAATAGCATTGTTTCACACTGAAAAACGTTTTTTGGTAACTTAAATCGCACTTTTGTGAAAAAAAATGGATCCCCTAGCTCAGCTTACATTATTCACCTCCCTTGTAGATTTGACCGTGTGACGTCACTAGTGAACACTTCCTGTCTAAACAATAATAACGCGCGTATATGCCATACACTTTTCGTTGCTTTGTAATGGAGTTTTCTTCGTTTATATTTGTTTATTTTTATCACTTTCTTCAAGGATTATACATTTTGTGTGTGTGTGTGTGTGAATATTGTGACATTATTCTGTGAAAAATCTTCCGTGGAACTGATAATTTGTTCCGATATTTTGACGATCAGCCACCAAGGTTGTGTGTGCTGCTTTCGGGTGTAATACTCGGTCTGGGAGAGATAAAGTAAGTTTTTTTACCTTTCCCACAAATAAGACATTGAGGAAGACGGGGTCTGAAAGACTCGGGAGAAGTGATGAAAAGTTTAAAGGACGTGTATATGTACCAAATATGTACAGCAGACTTTGCTCTAAGCACTTTGAGGAGTCGGCCTTTGAGAAAAGTCCTTCAGTATTGAGAAGTGTTGGATGTGGCGAAGTTTTCAGACCGCAACTAAAAAGAGATGCCCTACCAACCATTTTAAACGTAACTTTACAGAATGTGTACATTAATGCATAGACCCAAGTTAAGCAAGCAATTTGGTAGATGCGAAAAATTTAGGTAAATATGCTGTTATAAGATAAGATAAGCTAGTAATAGACAGTTTGCTGAAATTAATTATGTTGTACAAGAGGATTTAAAGGAACATCAGGAAACTTTTATACAGGAGTGCGGACACAGGAAGACATGACGCAATTTTTCACTAATTGCAGGCTCCGTCCACTATAGAATCTGTGCTGCAGGATATACTGATAGAATCCTATCCAAATGGAAAACAGGTGTTTGCATTTGCTTCTAGCAGTGCCAGTTTCTTCCACAAGCCCTGAACGTTCATTCAGCAGCATGGGAAGGCTAAAGATTCTCATGTGCTTAACAATGACCACTGGTCGCCTCTCTGGCTTAGTACTTTTGCAAATCCAAGAGACAAGGAGATCCAGGCCGACGCTGTTGTAGATACATAAACACAACAAAAAAAAATCAGCATTTGGCAATTCTATTTGCTGACAAGTGAAAGCGTCATTTGTTTGCTTCTGTTTATGCAATGTATATACATATATAACATTGACCAAGGACATTGAAATAATAGTAATTATTTTTAACTTTTAATAATTCAATTTATTCTTCGAGAAATCAGCGTTTTTTTACGTCAGCTGTTGCTATGCATTTGGATTAATTCTAACCTTATTGTGATATGTGTACAATACTACTGGTTCCTGTTTTACAATTTAATTCATATTTTGTAAACAAACACCAGATAATTGGCTATAAAAGCACGAAATGTGTGTGCAATTTTCTTTTACTTACGATACATTGTACAAGTTAAATAATAACTAGAATAATTAGAGATAATGCCATGTGGTTATGGACGCCATAACAGAATACCATCTCAACATAATTTGAGACCTAGAGGACAGCTCAAAGATGTACAGCCTGCAAGGTAGACTCGCAGTCCAGTTAGAAATACTGGGAACGCACTACCTGACACTGAACTCTCGAGAGGGGATGAACTTCCACCCCATTCAGAGGTCTGCCATAGGGGCACAACAGACATGCACTAATGGATAGCCTGCGCAGTCTAGAGGCGGTAAGGTCATTTGAAAAGCTGGCCGAAGCAGAGAAAAGGCTTCGGCAAAGAGATGCTGATGTGTGGGTTTTGGGCGATTCAATCCCCCTTTAGACTGGAAAAAAGCAAAAGATAATGGCAAAGAGAATCTTCGGTTGAGGTGCAATATTGCTTGATGGGGTGAACAAGGCCTGCGTTGGACTGGTTTCTGGAGATCAATTGAAGCACAAGTTTTACTATCTACACCTCCATCAATTATTATTATCAACTTGGACATGCAAGGGAGCCTTAAATGACCCCTTAACCCAGTAACATTAATTTCAGCCAAGCTACGCCCTTGATTAGTGTAGATTTTCTGAGACAAGTCAATATAAGAATTGATTTTATTTCAAAGTTGATATCATTAGGTTATAAACATAATGATATTAAACAATAAATATGACTGCAATTGTATCCTCCAACAATAGCATATTTTGCATCTACTATATTTTTTAGATGACCTCTCTCTGAAATCAGTTTAGGAAGGATTTTTTTTTCCCCATTGATTTTGATAAATCTAAAGGATAAGTTTGTTTTGTCGTTACTGGTCACTGAATAGCAGAAACTTAGCATTGAAGCTCTTCTTAACCACAATAATTGGGATTTTTCAACACTTTCATCAATACAAGAGAAGAGCAGGGATGCCAATTTTCCGCGGATCCTCGAACCACTTTTGAGAACGATGTAAATCCAAGGAGAAAATTTGTGGGGTGGGGGTCTCTTTCGCCGAGTTTGCTACCGTCTATTGTCCGCCGATTGTAAATGTTTAGACCGTACCGTAAATATTTAGATCGTACTGCTTTTCGGGTATGTTCAGTTATTGTCGCTATTATAGTAAGCCAATGAACGATAGCGTTAAATATACCGACCAATCGTAGCGTCTTTCTGGAGTTGAAGAAAGCAAAACAAAACGTTGGCCGATTAGCAAGAAAGATATTTTTTACATGAATAATGGCAGCAATTAACTCCAACAATGCTTCGAAGATCAAAGACTGTGACAAAAATGTTAAAAATAAGTTTAATTTGAAATGGTTAGAGAACACAGTAAATGTGAATATCGGATCAACCGAGACAACCGTCTGCATTGGTGACGATTTCGTCAAAAAAAATATTCCTGGACAAGCTTCATGTCGACTATGTTCAAAACAAATTAATTATGGTAAGATGTATATATTACAGTTATAGATACTGATTAATTTCATTGAAATTAAAGTTTGCCTTAACTTTGTTACTGCCAGTCAAAGTAATACAATATCAGTTAATGAAAATATTTGATAAAGCACTAAAAGGAAATGCATTTTAGACCATCTGAAAAGGATGAAAACCCAGAAGCTTCCGGGGGCTTCGTCTGCATGGGGGGGGGGGGGCACGCGGCCCCCATGACCCCTCACGTTTAATTTTCCTCTTTTTTCCAAAATGTCTATTGGCAACCTGGAGAAGAGAAATAAGGTCACAGACGATGCTCACAACATGTCGCGGGAAATATAGATGACATGGACAAAGAGACAGCTAATACTTGTACTAGTACAATGCAAAGAGCAGATAAAACTAACGTTTCTGTTTCTGATTCCACAGATACAGATGATAATTCGTGTGAATACTGTTTTTGTTCTCCTTGTGTAACTGCAAATGAACAGTCATCGATCGGAAAGGGGTCAAGGCCAAAACCAACAAATAGAATTTCAAGAAAAATCAGATACAAAAAGTTTTGGTGAATGATGAAAAGATGAAATGCTTGGCGTAAAAGAAAGTATCTGAGAAAGAAGGCACGACTTCTTGGAAGAAATGATGAAAGCACCGTTTTCATTCAATGGGATACAATGCTAAATTGTTTTTTAAATTTAGTAAAGGAAAGGTATCCTTAGCTACCAGGACAACCCTACACTGGACACTGTTGGTGGCCTTAGCCATGGAAATGGAGAATTACTATTTATTACTTGAATATAATGTGTCTGTAAAATTGATATGCTTACAAGAGTGATAAATACAAACTAGAGTATATAGTTATTTCTGTTTGTTTTCAGTTATTTCTGTTTGTTTTCATTGCATGTGCATGGATTTCCATGTGATCCAATTGCTATGATCACAAGCAATGTGGTCACATGATTATTTACATAACACACTACTCCCCTTAATTTAAATTTGAATTTCTGTTATCAATTGTTTTGAAATTATAAAAACCTATTTCTTCATACATTTTCAAATTTCTTATCTAGACTGATAAATTAATCATTTAGCTTCATTTAGGAATTTTTTTCATTGGTAAAAAAAACAAAACATTTTACATCAAATATTTTGAAAAATCTCTGCCCTTTTATACCTAGATTGGGTCTAAAAGGCCTACTGTTACTGTATTTCAAATTTACAGAGGGTCATAAATCAAAAATTCACAATTCTCAAAACAGACAACACCATCTCAATATTCCCTGCCTGATATTTGCAACAGGGAATAAGCTGATATACATGTAACATGAAATTAAAAGAATGAAATACAAAGCATATAACCTAAGAACATCTTGGCAAAAAAGTACTTGAATCAAGAAAGAAAACAAATAATTGCCATAGTTGGTAATAATTGATGCATGATGGTAGAGAATCATGACAAAACAAGTTCTGAAAGTGAGATTTTAACTTGTTTTGGTCCTTTTCAGGAATTGGGCTAGTTTAAACTTTCCTTCTCTGCCTTTATAAAAGATTGCAATTACTCCCCAAAACATATTTCATATACTTTTGTTTTGTTTCTTGTCACATTTTAACACAAGTGAAGTTCAATGAAAACAACTTTACAATTTTCCTGATGGATATTAACTTTCTGCTCTTTTATTTATTATTACTATGTGTGTGGATGGCACCTTAAATTTCATCAGCAATATTACTTTTGCTTCATCAAGGAGTTTCACAGTTCTGTCTAAACAGAAATTTCTGACATAGGAATCTAGGCCATCACATAACTCCTGCAATATTTCATCACATTTTACTTTCCCTCTCAATACTAATCATCTCAATTTAAATAAAACTTACTTTAGAGTTAATAATTAGTATGAAATTATCCCCCCTCTCAAGCTGTCCTCACTTTTCCTCCAATGCTTTCCCAGAGTTGTTTCCCTTACCAGCACTTTCTCTGTCCTCACTTTTTGATCAAACTATTAATACTTATTATCTCCCTTTTCAATATTGACTTCACTTTTCCTCCAATGTTTTCTCAGAGTTGTCCCCCTTATCAGCACTTTCTTTGTCCTCACTTGATACGAATCATCTCCCTTTTCAATATTGACTTCACTTTTCCTCCAATGTTTTCTCAGAGTTGTCCCCCTTATCAGCACTTTCTTTGTCCTCACTTTTCCTGTCAGATTTCTTATGTTTCTTGTGTTTATGCTTGTGTTTTTTATGTTTGGGTTTCTTGGACCTGAAATGTGACAGTACATCTGTAATTTTCTGAAATATTTCTTCGCCAAAATCATATAAACCATTTACGCACTCAGTAACTGCCAAGATTTTTCAGTCATATAAACTTATTATCAAATGGCAATCCTCAACCACAATGTCTAAAGATGGAAATAGGTATTTTATTTACAACATTCACTACCTGTAACTATATCATTAACATTTATTAGATAGTGTATGATCAATACGGTAGGTTTGTAAAAACTAGAAAGTAAAAGTAGCAACCATAATACATCCCTTCAATATATCTTTTTTTGTTACCCCCATCACTTTTTTTGTAAAGTTAATTTCCCATAGGCCATGGGAATAATTTCTTATTGTGAATTTAAGTGTACCATGTGATAAAAATTTTTGTACTGTTACATAGATAACATTACTTTGTCACAGTAAAAATCATAGGTTTGTGAGTAACAGCAAAAATATCACACTTTAGTATGTTCCTTCGGATGATATTTTGACTGTTACTCACAAAACTGTGTGTTATATATATGTTAGTCTCAGTTTTTTATTTCAAAACATTACAATTACTCTTAAAGCTTCAGACCGTAACAGTTACATATATTATTAAAATCTTTTTTTCTTACCTTTCAGAGCTATTTGATCTACTGCGGGACCTATTTTTACGTTTGTATTTAGATTTTCCACTCTCTCTGCTTCTTGACCTACTTCTACGTCTACTGTCCTGTAATCGGTCCTCTTTCTCTACTCTGCTATATTTGCTGCTTCTATCCCTACTCCTAGACCTACTCCTCCTCGAGGACCTGGAATACACATTTTATAATAAGATGCAGAACTTCGGTTTGGCCAAATTTCATTCAGGGTTCCGAGAGGACTTGAAATATCTGTTAACAATGATTTTGGCTTCATCTGAATTTCTCCTTGTAAAATATTCCTTCTTTCTTAAAGTTAGATACTGGCAGAAAGGGTAGTTACATATTATTATACTGTACAATACTGAATTATATTTGGTCAAGTACACTGCTGGTGAAACTGTAATGGAAGAACCACTAGGCAAGTAAGTTTGACACAAAGTCATTCTTATTTTTTTTTACTTAATTGCCATTGGAGTAAGTAAATTTGAAAACAAAAAAAAGGTTTGTTGATTGGAAGTTTCAAAGCACCCCAAAGGATATAGGAAATACGTGATGTGGTTGGAAAAACTTAACCATAAGTGTGACGCTGACACTTGAATGAGTGTTTGGCACTCCCTATTATATAAATATAACAGTTGAGCTAAAAAACAAATAAGTTAAACAAACCAACAATTCTTTACCTGTATGATCTATCTCTACTTCTGGATCTACTTCTATCATATCTTCTACTATCTCTATGTCTAGACCTATCATCTCTATCTTTCTCTCCAGTACTGTCTTCTGTTTTTATTCTTCTAGAATCTGTTTCAGCCTGGTCATCTAACCTATAAAGATATAAATTTTCCCTGTAAATTTACTTATCCAAATGGTTTAGTTCAATAAGCTAATTTTTGTATTATGAACGACAATAATCAAATATTGAGAATGAAATATTTTTGCTTTGTTTAATTTAAGTCACATCCATATGGTCAAGATCATATATAGGGACTTCACAACTTTACAGGTGAAGGACGACCTAAAATACCCATATGATCATTATTTCAGGTATAAGTGGGCACCTGGGACAAACCAACCAGCTTCCATAAGCTAGCTGGATTATCTTCCTCATATAAAAGAATCAAACCATAGTCCCTGATAGGATTCAAACCCAGTAACGAGGGAGGCACTGTTTCCAGTAGACATTTTATAAGGTTTACTTGATGCATATGATATTACCTACATTCTTGACATACATTGTTCCGAAATTGCAAAGTATATCCAAAACTCATAAAAATACAAACAAGAGGGCCATGATGGCCCTGAGGTCGCTCACCTGTATATAGGCCCCCGGAGCAGGGCCGGTTTAAACCCCAGGGCTTTTATTTGAGCAAACTTGGAAGACACCCATTAGAAGATGTTTCATAATGTTAAGTTTTTACTACACACATATAACAAGAAACATGGCAATGCCATGAAACCAGGTTTTCAATTATCACCATTGTAGATAAATATGTTGTATTTGAAATACAAATACAAGCAACAAACAATGTAACTATGTGCAATGTAAAACATGAATAATGTAGGAGGAATTGCCACTGAAGAAGTGTTCACTATAATATTATGTATAAGGAAAAAAAAAAGGGCCATAATTAGGTCAAAAAACTATCCAATCACAAAAACCCCGACAATATGTGCCAGGGTGCTTGATGACAAAGCTTCTGTGAAAGTTTGAACAAAATCCGTTGAGAAATGTAGGACGAGTTCAGCACAGAAGAATTTGTTCACTATAATTATATTGATAATTCTGTATAATGAAAAACAAGTTACAAAGTAGACATGAAATAATATATCATATCTTTTTTAAATTACCTCCAAAGATGATATGACCTTTGACTGCCAAATCAAGTTAAAATCATGTAAACAGGATTTTTCAATGTTAATGTCACTGTGACCTTGACCTTGGAGCCAGCCATGCGGAACATGCGTTTCTGCCACGTCATCTTGATGTGGTAAACATTTGTCTGAAGTTTCATCTAAATTCTTCAAAGGGTTGAAGAGTTACAGAGCGGACACAATTTTCATTTGACGCCCGCGGACAGGATTTTCAATGTTAATGTCACTGTGACCTTGACCTTGGAGCCAGCCATGCGGAACATGCGTTCTGCACGTCATCTTGATGTGGTAAACATTTGTCTGAAGTTTCAGCAAAATTCTTCAAAGGGTTGAAGAGTTACAGAGCGGACAGGATTTCAATGTTAATGTCACTGTGACCTTGACCTTGGAGCCAGCCATGCGGAACATGCGTTCTGCACGTCATCTTGATGTGGTAAACATTTGTCTGAAGTTTCATCAAAATTCTTCAAAGGTTGAAGAGTTACAGAGCGGACACAATTTCATTTGACGCCCGCCCATCCGCCCGCCATACCCCAATTCTTAATAACCAGGATTTTCAAAATTGAAAAACCTGGTTAATAAACAAGAGGGCCATGATGGCCCTTGAGGTCGCTCACCTGTATATAGCCCCCCCCCCCCCCCCGGGCCAATTTTACCCAAGGGCTTTTATTTGAACAAGACTTGGTAGAAGACACCCATAAGAAGATGTTTCATGCTAAACATCTAAGTTCTAGCTCATTGGGTTTTTTAAAAGAAGATTTTTTAAGTTTTTACTATACACATATAGTTAAAAACAATGACACCCCTGGGGCAGGGCCAGTTTTGACCCCCTGGCTTTTATTTGAACAAACTTGGTAGACATTCACTAGAAGATGTTTCATGCCAAATATCTAAGCTCTAGCTCTTTGGATTTTTAAAAGAAGATATTTAAAGTTTTTACTATACACATATAGTTAAAAACAATGACACCCTCGGGGCGGGCCAGTGTTGACCCCAGGGCTTTTATTTGAACATACTTGGTAGACACCCATTAGAACATGTTTCATGCTAAATATCTTAGCTCTAGCTCTTTGAGTTCTTTAAAAGAAGATTTTTTAAGTTTTTACTATATGCATATAGGGAAAATCAATGACCCCCTGGGGCGGGGCCAGTTTTGACCCCAGGGCTTTTATTTGAACAAACTTGGTAGACACCCATTAGAACATGTTTCATGCTAAATATCTTAGCTCTAGCTCTTTGAGTTCTTTAAAAGAAGATTTTTTAAGTTTTTTTACTTTATGCATATAGGGAAAATCAATGACCCCCTGGGGCGGGGCCAATTTTGACCCCAGGGCTTTTATTTGAACAAACTTGGTAGACACTCATTAGAAGATGTTTCATGCTAAATATCTTAGCTCTAGCTCTTTGGGTTCTTTAAAAGAAGATTTTTTAAGTTTTTACTATATGCATATAGGGAAAATCTATGACCCCCTGGGACAGGGCCAATTTTGACCCCAGGGCTTTTATTTGAACAAACTTGGTAGACATTCACTAGAAGATGTTTCATGCCAAATATCTAAGCTCTAGCTCTTTGGATTTTTAAAAGAAGATATTTAAAGTTTTTTCTTTTGGTTGCCATGGCAACCAGAGTTCTGCATGGAATTAAATTCTTTGAACAATTTTTAAAGGTGACCACCAAAGGAACATTCCTGTGAAGTTTGGATGAAATTGGCTTAGTGGTTTATGAGGAGATGTCATTTAAAGTAAAAGTTTACGGACGGACGCCGGACGGACGGACGCCGGAAGAAAAGCGATCACAAAAGCTCACCCTGTCACTTTGTGACAGGTGAGCTAAAAATACAGGAACAAAACACTTACATTTGAGAATGTCCCATTTCATCCTTGAGCGACTGTGTGTACATCTCCATTTGATTGTTGATTACTTCACGTGTTATCTACAATATTACACCAGCACAAACTTTTATTACATTAAGAATACTATATCTTTTATTCAATAATGTTTGTTTTGTTTTGCTTGGTTGTTATGCCGACTATTATATATGTTTGATTATATCTCGACAGTCGGTTCACCTAACTGGCTTTCCTGGATAACTAACCAGTAAACATCAATTTTTCCACAAGTGAGATTAATAAACTTATTTTATATAATTTCCGACCCAGCAGGGAAAAATTATTGGCCATTAAACTCAATGTCTGAGACCAATTGTGAAAAGGAAATTTCACCTAACCCAAGGAACAGTTTTTCAGACTTATGTTTTTAATTTTAATCTTATGACAAAATGCTCTATTGTACTTAAAATCCATGGAGCAATTAGCTATAAAATACATTTTTCCCATTTAGACACAATTGTTTGTTTTCTTAGGAAATCTTTACAAGCCTTTTTTTTTCTTAAGTATTTTTTTAAAGTTGTACTTGACGTAAAACGAGGTATTCGCCAAAAGTGTGTTGTTTTCCCAATTGTTTAGCAAATATTCCCAATTGGTTATTTTAGACATTGTTTTACAACAACTTAAAAGACTAAAAATAGATCTTTAACGGTAAACTGTTACCATGCTAAAATTTCATGAATGGACTGCTATGTGTTAGAATTGTAGCATTGACTTTTCTCCTTCAGAAATCTATGCAAAGAATATAACACAACAACATCGAAGCTTTAATTCATCTGAAATTCCTAGTTGAGACATTATTTTTTTTCTCTAATGAGACACAATATGACATGATTTTCCCCATTCCAACAGTTTCAGGTTTTTTTTCAAAATGTTGACAACAAAGGTCTGACACAGTATACAAATACATTTCCCCATTTTCAATAAAGCCAAGGCTATTTACACTAACACATCTTGATATGTTATCACCATAATCATAATGTACATACCTCAGTGTGAGATTTCTTCGTGATATGAACATTTTTAGCTCTATATGTTTGCCTTCGCCTCCTGTAATCACGCAGAGCTGCCATCTCTTCAAATGGATCTAATTTTCTTTCCTCATTATCTGATACAAAATATATTCATACACATTTTCTTCCCATTTTCTTCTATACAGATTAAAGTTTCAATTTTTCAACTCTAAATTTATAACACTAATTTCATAATGATAATCTAATTTTATACAAGAACAAAATTTAGTAAAAGTCCTCAAAAAAGTAAAATCTATTTAAACCAACATTACCATTCAATAGTGTTCAGAATTATTTTTTTTCTGTGAGCAATTCTAAGCCAGATATGAGTCATTTTGCACAAGCAAAATGATTATTCTGAAAAAACGGAGATGAGCAAATGATCAAAACCTTATTTAATAAGTCCAAACCTTCATCAAACGATATAAAAAATTTCGAAAAAACATTTTTCCATTCCCCTATGGTTTAAGACCTTCAGTGGAGTTCATTTAAAGCTCATCAAATTAAACAAACAAACCTTTTTTAATGAGATCGGCCAGGTTCTCTGACACAAGAAGCTCGTCCTGTCCTAGTTCCTTCAGTCTATTTGCTTCCTTAGCTCTCTTTATAACATACTCTGCTATTCCTAACCTGTCCTCCCTACTCATCAATACCTGCTCCTCCTCGCCTGTCTGTGGCACCTTCTTGTAACCATAAAATACTGAAATAATGTTATAAAATATTGAAATAGTGTCATAGAATAATGAAATAAAGCCATTAAATACTCAAATAATGCCACACATACAAAATAATCCACAGGAATATAAAAATTCTATCAGAAACTACATTAATACCATAGAAAAACAATCTTAAATAACATGAACATTTAAGTATTACAAACATTGAAGTATTACAATAATTAAAACAACCGTAAACCATAACTAATTATTCACTTAAAAACTATTTAGCTTATTTATGTGTAGGAATACTAGCGCACACTTCAAACAGCTTATTTCAAGATTTTAAACAATGGTTTACATTGAAAAAGTAACTGGTACTCTGCATGCAAGGGGAGTATTATATTTCACATGTAACAAATTGCGGAATCAGTAGCTTCAGCAAAGAATGGCAAGCACTTTAATGGTTTGTTCAAATACAACTAATAAGTTACATTCTTAATTTTGTAAAAAGCTTTCACGTAACAGTATTAAGTACATGTAATAATAAAAACAATTTAAGGTACCTGAATGGTTCTGTACATGATGATTCCATAGCACTGAGTTTAAAGTGTCCAAGTCTGAAATAGACAGTTTAAATCATGACATATTTTAACCCTTAAGTAATAAGCCTTTGCCACCAGTATAGAACCAAATTTAATGCAATTTAAAGTTCATTGCACCATTGCGCAAATATACTGATCAATACGGGTCATCAGCTTTCCATGTATGCTTGTTCCTTCTCAAGTTATTAATCAGACAAGGATTTTACTTAAAAGTCACTCTGACCTTGACCTAATGACCTCAAAATCAATAGAAGTTTTCTACTGGCAAAATCCCTACTAAGTTTCACAAACCTAGGCTCCTTCCTTAAACTATTAAGCAGACAAGGATTTTTCGTAATTTCTCACTGTGACCTTTGATCTTATAACCTCAAAATCAATACTAGGGTCATCTACTGGCAATAAACATTTTCCCTACAAAATACATATAATAGTTACCAACTCAACAAGTTATCAAACAGACATCAATGTAGGTAAGAGACGGACAGACTGACAGAAATGTGCTATAACATAGTTTGACAAAAGTAAAACTCCTTATAAACTAGAACTCCGTGAGTCGGATGTGTCGCCTTGTAAACAATATAGTTTAGGGAAATGGCCAGGACAAAAATGAAATATGAAAATTAACAAAGGGCAATAACTCAAAAAAATAAGAAAAGCAGAGCAGCAGTTTCTGTGCATTGCACTTTTTATCAATAAGATCTATCATCCTATGAAGTTTCAAGTCTATAGCTTTTAAAATTTATGAGAAATGGCCTGGACAAAAATAAAGTATGAAAATTAACAAAGGGTAATAACTCAAAAATAAGAAATGCAGAGTACCGGTTCTTGTGCACTGCACTTCTTCTTAATGAGATCTATCATCCTATGAAGTTTCATGTCCATAGCTTTTATACTTTAGGAGAAATGGCCTGGACAAAACTAAAGTATGAAAAGAACAAAGGGCAATAACTCAAAAAATAAGAAATGCAGAGTACTGGTTCTTGTGCACTGCACTTCTTCTTAATGAGATCCATCATCCTATGAAGTTTCATGTCTATAGCTTTTATACTTTAGGAGAAATGGCCTGGACAAAAATAAAGTATGAAAATTAACAAAATGCAATAACTCAAAAAATAAGAAATGCAGAGTATCGGTTCTTGTGCACTGCACTTCTTCTTAATGAGATCTATCATCCTATGAAGTTTCAAGTCCATAGCTTTTATACATTAGGAGAAATGGCCCGGACAAAAAAAAGTATGAAAATTAACAAAGGGCAATAACTCAAAAGTTAAGAAATGTCGAGTAACAGTTCTTGTGCACTGCACTTCGAGTCATTATAAGAAGCATGCATACCAAGTTTGAAGTCAATCTGACTTATAATGACTGACTTATGCTCCGGACAAGCTTAAGGGGACGCCGACGCTGACACCGCCAACAAAAGTAACCCTTATATGTCGCCTTTTTCAAGGCGACACAAAAAGGTACTTTTATGTTTTTGTCCTTTCTTATGGTTGATTTTTAAAAAATGATTAACAAATGATTTCTATATATGATTTAACATACATGAATATTGTATTATAAGTTAATAGAATAAACCAGTTCCTAACACAAAAGCTTACCTAATTTTACAGGGTGGACACATGCTGCATCTTTGTAGAAAAATGACCTGTCTTGTGCTATCTTCTCCTGTACATTTGAAAAATAAAAGCAACTTAGTATTTACCATTTTACCACTGGCAGCTATACGAAACATAAGTACACGGACCTGCCCTACATCCCTAGTCAGTATGATCAATTTTATAATTCAAAATTTTAGTACCCGTATTGAAACACCTTAAACTTACATTAAAATGGATACCACAAGATTTATGTGAAGCACTGGTTTCAGGGTAATTCTATAAATTCAGTAAATTTAAAAACATAATTATTTTAACTAAAACAGAAAAAAAATTGAATTTAACCCTTAGCTTGCTGGCAGCACTGATTTTACCCATGCAACCAGTGCAGTCCAAGATCAGCCAGCACAGACAATGGTCTGCACTCTGCCATTCAGTCAGTAAATATTTTTGAAATTTCTCCTACAAATGATGATTGGTTTAGTCCATTTTATATATTTAGTGTAGTAAGGATTAAATATAAACAATTACACTTACAGCATCTTCTTTACTGTAACCTTGGCTGACAATTTTACACAAATGTGAATGTTTTTCAACAGAGGATTTTGGCATCCTATGATCACTGTTGTGGGGACATTCACAAAGATTTCTTGGCTGAAATACAAAAGAAAAAACACCTACAGTACTATATATTCATATATACTTATTCCAATCATTACTTACTTTAAACCTTAAACAGTCTGTAATGAATAACACTAGTATATCTAATTAATAAATAGAAACACACTCTTAAAGCTGCATGCCTTCGGATGAGCCAAAATATTTCAATAAAATCAACATTGAGAAAAATGTACTAAGATTATAAGAAAAGTAAAAAAAAAAATAATCCCAATTCAAGAAGTAATTTACATGTAATATGCCATTAATGACTAATTGTTTGCAGTACAATATGTATTTATGACCATATATCTACTTTGTTTCTAACACAGTAAGGGCTATATTTGCATATTTTGACCTATTTTTGACAATTTTCCTAGATATTAAGTGCTGTTTTTAATGTGTAAATTACTTTCTTTGTTCATTTGATAATTTTTTAATTCTCTATACATTTAAAAAAATTTCATGAAAATTACCATGAATCTGGAGGCATGCTGCTTTAACAATTTGGTGCCACGTTTTGCATGATAAAAAGAATAATCATTTTTTGTATTAAAGAGAAGATAATCCAAGGGTGCTACAGAGCAATTGTGATAAATAATCCATTCATTCATAAAAAATCTACTTTTAGCTCTAGAAGCCCCCCAAAAAAGGCAAACAAATTCTATTTAAGCTAACCTCACAGAGGAATGACAGTCTATGTAAGGATGCAACATTCTACATTTATTAAAATGAATCAGATGATAATGTTTCAAAAGAAATTTTTCTTGCTTTAAGGAATGTTGAACAACTTGCAGCTAGAAAAAGTGGGTTAAACTTGACCAGTTTTACAAGGTCATTGCTGATGCCACATGCATGAAGATTATAAGGATCTTATAACCGCTGCTTGTACAGACCATAATATCTAGCTCAAGGATTACTGTTTACTGCGGTGATGAAGCTCTGCAGAGTTTCCGCTTAAAAGTTTCTCAAGAACTAGAAATTCCTGTCTGTGGCGACAGCTGGTTTTTAATTATAAAATGGATGACCGAGTACATAATTATCCACACTAACATTCTAAATAAGTTCTTCAAGACTCTTTAAATCCAGTGAGCTTGCAAGAATATGATCAGAAAATGACAGATAAAAACAACAAACAACAATGCCTATACCTGCATAAAATGTTCTGGTGTCCAGCCAAGACTGTCCAGCATTGATGTTATGTCTTCCTGACATTTGTCTATAAATTCTCCAAGTGAATCTAAACATTTTTGCCTGTCGGCAATTTCTTTGTTGGAGATACTGGATGTTTCTGCAGTACTCATTTTACTGGCTTACTGAAATAGTTATATTCATTTGAATTAAATAGTTGTCAAAGGATGGCCTTTTTCCAAATAATAAAAATAATTTTCTATGCAAATATGGCTATATATTTATGAAAATAACATTACACATGCGTCACCATGAGAAAAAATTTAAAGTAAAATGTTTTAACAGGTTTGTTAAATTTTTCCGAATTTTCTAATATGATAAAATTTTCCAATTTCACAGCCATAGGTTAACACACAAAAAAAACAATAAGAGGGCTATAATGACCCTGGATATATATCACATTAGCCATCAAAATCCATCCATAATTCTTTAATGATAAATTTGTTATTAGGTATGATACTAAAGCTATAAATATTACCATTTAATGTATTACAAACCTTCCATTATAGACCAATAGGCAATCTATTTTATATAAATTTTCCTAGACAAGTCTATATTACATAAAATAAGTGACCCCCAGGGCAGGGCAAATTTTGACCCTAGGGCATGATTTATATAACTTTGATAGAGGTCCACCTGGCAATGCTACATGCAACAGTGTTGCATCTAGAATTGCAAAATTATGGGGCATTGTCCCCCAATCAACTGAAAAATGTACTTACCTTACTATGACATACAAAAAAAAAACTCATTTATTTTACGTTTAGACATTGTTGACAGCTATCGTCTGCTCAACAATGGAAATAGAACAAATAAAATATTGACGAATACTACAATTAACATGCGAGATGACCCAGTCGGCCCACATGGGATTTAGTACATATTATAGTCATTACTGCATGTGAAAACAAACATAGCTGAAGCGTTCAAGATATGATGAAAATAAACTGAATTAAGTTGAAAGGATCGTCAAATGCGCGACTTGGCGCATATTGACTTCATTAAATTGGGCGATCTGCATAAAATATGCGCAATTCGTGCAATGCAGGGCCTAGATGCAACACTGATGCCAAATATCTAAGCCAGTGATTTTCCTGCTTATATAACTGACTCCGATAAAAAGCCTCTTCCAAATTGAAATTTTCTTGAACATCATGCAGTTTTCCCAAAAATCTTAACTTTAACCTGTTTTTTCTTCCCAAATTAACAATTTTGTGATATTAAGTGATAATTTTTCCCATCAAGAGGCTAAGGCCTCTTTCAAATTAAGTGAGGAAAATCACTGTAAGTATAACAGTTTGATAAAAGAAGAATTCAATGTATTTTCCTAAACAAGTTTATGTCAACTAAGTTACCCCAAGGGCAGGCCATTTTTTCATCATTTTATGATGATTTTTTGTATAAAAGTGAAAATTAACAGACATTATGAACAAAGCTTACACAAATTACTTCCATCAGCTCACATTAGCATTCTATACTCAGTGGAGCTGAAAATTTATTTTATTAACTGAAAAATATCATCAGGATGCTGTTGTACATATTGTTCATCATACTTTATTGAAAACTATTGCTTGAGCTCTGACTGGTCCAGACATTGAATTTAAGATTTTGAATTTACTGGCCCAAATTCCAGTTTTGAATTTATTGTACTATACGAAATTTTCTTAAAATTTAAACTGGCCCAAATTAATTTTCACTGGCCATGGACCACCAGCCAGTGCTAAGGCCTAAAAAAAAATTGTTTTGTTCGGGTCACCCAACCCTACCTGATAATATACGCCGACCCATACCGTTTTTTTCGTGTCCAAAAAAATAAAATAAAAAAATTAAAAAAAAAAATCGATGAAAATACCGTATTCCTGAGGTACGGTACGGTACAGGTTTTATCGCCGCTCTTAGTTCACATCGTCAATATTTGTAAAATGGCGTAAGATTGATACACCTTAAATGTCCTTTGAAAACATAGAAGGGATGTATTTGTGCCACCCGGGAGGCACAAAATAGCAAATGTCAATATACTGGTGAATAAAAAAAAATCAGACCTACCCTACCTATTCCTTGAGAGCATGTTACCCTAACAAAACAATTTTTTTTTTTTAGGCCTAAACGGCTAAATGCGATGACTGCTGGTCATGCATTTTTTCTAAGTTCTGTCCTTCTCTATTCTATTATATGAGCTATGAAGATACACATGTAATCAATATTCTTGAGATAAATCTTACTTTTCATACATTTACACGTGTACAAAGGAATTTATAATCTGGGGTCGAAACGTTTTGAGGACGAAACGTACCTTTCAGGAACAATTTTGTTCCTATCGCATGACATTTAAAATTTTACTTATTTTCAATTCGCAGGCAGTAGAAAATTAAACAGGTGAGTGATTCATTATCAAAACGATGCTTAAAACAATAAATTAGAAACTAAATTGCAGTGGTCAGAATTGTTTGCAAACCGGCAAACTCCTCAAATCTTTTTTTGATAAGGGGAGATAACTGCGTTAGGAGTTGGCAAACCGGAAGTACATACAACTTGATTCTTTTTAACCTGATTTTTATTTTGTTCTGAACCGAATTAAAATCCCGCCTTTTTATGTCTTCCCTATCACCGTGAATGTCCAGTAACGCCGGAATGTGAAAATAACGTGCAGTAAATGGCGGATACCTGACAGGATTTCCAAAGCGGTAAGTAAATTGGCCAATATATTTTTATTTAGCCGAATTGAAAAAAATGAATAGTTGCATACGGCTGCAAAGACATTACTCTTTATCCCTCATCAAGATTATTTCCACGAAATTGTTTACTTTTCAAGATCATTCGTGAAAATGATGACTTGACTACCGTTTTGAGCGATCGAGATTTTGGCATTTTCTCGACTCTTGTAAGTGCAACAATGCATATTATTCCGTATAATTTCGATTTTAGGTAGGCAAGTGATATTTACTAAAATTCTGGTGATATAGAAAATTGAAATAAGCCGATGAAATGTTATTCAAGTCGTTTTTATGAGGTAACGCCGATGTAAGTGAATAGTGCTTCGTGGTTCATATGTTTTTCCCATACAAGTTGACATATAATAAGAAACCCTAAGAGTTGGGTAAATCTTTACGTCAAGGGTTATAATTTATTTAACTTTATCAGAGGACAATAAGGTTATGCTTTTACAAGTTTTGGGCATTATAGTTTCTAAGTAAAATATCTTTTGAGTACAAGTCACTTCCTTATATAAGAGAAAAAATGAATTAAATAAATAATCTATTTTCACAGAAGTTCACCAGGCATATTGCTACAGCCAAATATTTGTTTTGTTGGGATTCACATCACAGCCAACACAATAAAGACATATGGAAACTTTCAAGCTTTTTTTGTGCATTATTTCAGGCAAAAAATATATACTGACACTTCTTCACTTTATTGTTTTCTTTTATTTTCATATTCAATTTATTTGCAAACTAAGTTTATTATTCTTATTTTCTAACAAGATCAGACGTGAGCAGAATATTCACAAATAATAATTTTATTTCAGGAAATAATTGTCAAATTGTACTAAGTTACAATTTGCAATCAAAATGTTGAAAGTTTGTCAAGATCTAATTATCATATATTTCTAAATAAGTTAAGAAGAAAGTACATTGACTATTAGGTCGCAAATAACTTGATTATATTCGGCGATAAAAGGCGTTATACCTATGTAATAATTCTGTACCATATAAGAAAAATCACATTTTCCGGCGTTACCTCATAAAAACAGCTTGAATCACATTTTATCAGTTTATTTTCAATTTTCTATATCACAAGAAAGTAGGTTTATGTCACATGCCTACCGAAAATCGAAATTATACGGAATAACATGCATTGTTGTACTAATAAGAGCCCACAAAAAGCCAAAATCTCGCTCAAAACGGTGGTCAAGCCATCATTTTCACGAATGATCTTGAAAAGTAAACAATTTCGTGGAAATAATCTTGATGAGGGATAAAGAGTTATGTCTTCGCAGCCGTATGCGGCTATTGATTTTTTTCAGTTCGGTTAAAAAAAAAATATATTGGCCAGTTTTCTTACCGCGTTGGAAATCCTGTCAGGTATCCGCCATTTATTGCACAATTCTGCGTTACTTATTGCACGAATCGTGCGTTATTTTTACATTCCGGCGTTACTGGATATACTTGGTGCCTTTTGTCCTTGAAAATACACATCTTTAATGAGCTGTTTATACTATTAGTAATTTAGTATAGGTTATAGATTATATACAGAGTTTTAAGAAACTAATTTTTGAGAGAACAAAGTGAAGCGAGAAAATTAGTTTCTTAAAACTCTGTATATAACATTTAACCGACTTACAGTTAGCCCCGCCTATTCGAGTGCATTATGTTATTGGTGGAATCCATTAAATCAGCTCATTTAACGTATAAATTTAATACTTACAGTTGAATTACAGCACTGTATGGTAAATATTTCGGCATTTAAACAAAATAGAGCGATTTTATTGTCAGACAAACTTTGGCGAACTATGCAAGAGGGTATGTAACTATGTTGTAGTGCTAACTCCCTAAATTGTGATCTAAAATTGACACCACTCTGCCACATAACTACACATAACATTTAAGTAGCGCATAACATTTGACCATTTTAATGCCAGAGGTTTTATCATAAAAGCAAGGAAATTACTGTGTACTTTTGAATAAAGTTAAGATAAAAACAAAAATTGTGTTGCAACCTCAAATGTACATACATGTAGGTATTTGTAAAGCAGTTATATAATTGCTATGTCGCTATGGAAAGTGTATGCAAAATAAACAACTGTTAAATAAAATTGATATAGGAACATCGAATTTTTTTTCTGAATTGATTTTTAATTTTATTATTAATATAATATTTTTTCAACTATGATATGGCTGCATGTGCAATATGGATAATGTTAACACTCTGTTTTTTTGCTGCAGGTGATTATAATAATACATGTATTTTTATCACGTTGACAATATTAATGTCAGAAACACTGCCACTTATTGTGAAAGATTTGTGATGGGCATATTAAAAAATCGGGTGTACTATTACTGATATATCAATCAGTTTTTGTTTGGATTTTGATTTAAGTTCTTGATTTATGTATATGTATAATTATTAAAGATGACAGATAATTTTTTTAATCTTTCTGGGCAAATTCCCTGCCATTTCTCCATAAAAGAACGTTAAAATCCCAAAGTTTTAAACAAAACATCTTTTCCATCATTATAGCCATAAAGCAGCTACTTTAAGCACGTGTTTAATGTTTAAAAATACAAGAAGCGTTACAAATAGTGAGCACGCATACGCATTATGTAAATAGGCGGAAGCCATTAAATCGGCTCATTAAACGTATAAATTTAATGCATACAGTTGAGTTACCGCGCTGTATGGAAAATACTTCGGCAAAATTTAAACAAAATAAAGCGATTTCATTGGCAGACAAACTTTGGCGAACTGTAAGAATATATAAATCCATATTAATTAAAATGTGTGTCCCGATTTATATATAAAAAATACGTTAGAAATTTAATGATAAATTATTGTTTGCAAAGATTAATAAATGACACGGCATATATATGCTTTTAACCCATTACTTCATGAGCGTTTTGTGAAAAATGGCTGTTTTTATTGAAAAGTCTCCCGTTACAAGTTCAAATTGCTATAAAACTATAAAAACTGCTTCAATACTAATCAAACTTGGTACAAATGTTGACTGGACCATTGCCTTTGTAACAACATGCCCAGGCTTAAATTTCCTGTTACCAAGGCAACGAGGGGCATCTCACAATTGCCAAAAAACACTATTTTGCGTTGATTTTTTTTCCATCAAAATTGATTTCAAAGTACATGTACTGCAACTTCTCAATGGATTAAGTTAGAGTCAAATGCTTTTCAGCGTTCGTTACACGATTGATCTCGGGTCATTTTTAGCCTCTCACAAGTCCAAAATTTTCTTGGCGATGAGAGGGACTGTCGCCCCCCTCAAACCCCTAAACAGAAGGGGGCACATCCCCTTCTGGCAACCCGTTGATGTATCTTTTGGTTGTGGGGCTGCGCCGAAAAAGTGGTCACTTTTTTTCAACAACATTTCTCAAACAAAAACAAGTGTTGGGGGCCTATAAAGGCATTTTTTCACCATTTGAGACAACAAAAATGGGGGGTTGAAAAAGGCGTTAAGCGTGTATATCGGGTAATGGGTCAATTAGTTGTATAGTCTATGGGGAAATGTATTAGAATATTAAATCTTTGTCCTAGATAAAAGTAACAATTTACATTTCCTGTACGATTCCACATGATTTACGTGTATTTACTACATACATGTAATATATGATATTGAGATATGAATTAGTTACAACAAAATATACATGTATATAATTTTAAAGATGTAAAAGTAAAGTTATGCTCAAATTATATAGTTTTGAATATTGATAATTGTTACAAGTCTCTTTGTAAACACAGAATAAACATGTTTTAAATACACACAAAGTAGATATATTATGTTTGAATCTCCACACACTAGAGATGCATGAAGACAATAAGAATATATAGTGTCATTAAAAAAAACTGGCAGTTTTTTTTTAAGAAAAGACCAACTTTACTTGACCTCTAATAGGATATGCAGCTTCCCACACACAATTTGTACATTCTTTTATTAGAATTACACATATTTAGAAAGAATTACATAGATTTCAATTAATTCCTGTGATAAAAATATTTTACTCTAAGATAAGCATAGTATATCTTTAAATGTCTTATCTAATAGCTCGCTAAGGTATGAAGGCATGGTTCCACGCGTATTAGGCTTATGAGGTTGAAGCCCCCATCACCCCACCCCCTTACAATATTTTGCTCCATGCTGTAAAGAAATTTAGATTTTGAAATGCTTAATTATTGGTTAAGACAGGGTCTTTCAAATAGATTTGAAAGAAACTACACATTACCAGGGCTTTTTCCGATCTACAGCAGGGGCCTCTTCCACCTGTGACCAGGGTCTTTCAAATAGAAAGATCCTGCTGTGACTTAAAATAGTTTTGTCCCAGCTTCCACTCAGGAAAATTCTTTTAAAATCATACAGTATATAGAATGATTTCAATATTTCATTTACTTATTTGTTGTGTCTTTTAACAAATAAAATGTCCGAATATCAGGGGATTTCTTGATAAAGGGAATGTACTCAGTAAATAAAATGACTTATTTGTTGTGTCTGTTAACAAATAAATTGTCCGAGTATCAGGGCATTACTAGACCTGTTGATCAACGGAATCTATATATTTAATACAATAATGTAACCAAATGAAACTTCTATGAAAACGGTTAAAAAATTATGCACCTAGTTCTTTAAAGCATTAATTCGTATATTAACTAATCAAGCAAGCCGTTGACAAAAATGGTTGACATAGCCTATTTACCTTATTGTTGACGTATTGGAATCAATTTTGCTGGCGCCTTTAAGTAAGAGCTCTTATACGATGTTTCAGTTAAGCTAAGATAATAATTTTGATTATGCATTGCATATAGTTATTTGAATTGCAGTTGTAATTTTTGCAAGTTGTCTTGAAAATTAAAAAAAAAGAAAACAAAAAAAATAATTTAAGGTGTAAATAGGTAAATTATTAACAGAGCATTTTTTAATTGATCTAAATTATTGCCCATAATTGTAAGTTGGAAAGGGGCACATAGATTTACCAGTCAAAGAATTAGTGACATTATTTTCTGTATAGACCTATTGCTTTTCTAGTCAAAATATATTCATGACATGCCAAAGCTATCTAGATGTGGGTCAGAATCTTGTAGCCCGGGTCTCCACGATACCGGTGTACATATTTTATACAAGGTGTTTTTCATATAAAAATTTACTGACTTGAAAAAAGAAGGAATAAACAACTTCATTAACATTTAATCCTCTTAAAATTACATTACAGAGTTCTGTTACTCTGAAATTCTCGCTCATTGCGAATGTAAACAATGGTCGACCATTTTGTATGACGTAGTTAAACAGACTTCATGCTACCGGTGCACTGGTAAAAATGTTATTTATATGGAAAGCCATTGCAGTTTTAATAGCAAATATATCATTTTAGCATTCTTGTATTCATATCTGAAAAAAAAAATGCTTAAAAACAACATAAAAACGTGTGTTTCAATAATTTATTGTTCATCTTTTATGACTCCCAAGGGGTCTCTGTTTTAGAACCTTTTCCTCCCAATTACAGGTGTATATTATACCATGTGGCTGGATTCAAAAATACCCCTTCACTTAATTTTAGTGTTGTTGTGATTGTCTGGTCCTTTTGTATCATTGAATCAATTTTATTTCTATATGATGAAGATAAAATATCGATATGGCACTTTACACAGGCTCCCTTAAAAGACTGAATGAAACTGACTTTTTAATTTTCATAAACTATTTTATATGCACTAATGGCTTTCCATAGATTAATTTTTTCCCGCCAAAAATGATGTCAAAAGGTCAAGTGACATGTAATGGAGGTTGAATGACGTCAGCACCTGTGATTTTTTATTTTCTTGGAAAAAAATGTGTTTTGTAGAGAGACTAATTTATGCAATGGAAAAATAGGATAGTAAAATAAAAATAAGGTAGGATATGTGAAATATTTCCTTCAGAAACTCTTGAAAATGTTTAAAAACTTTGAAATAGCCAATATTACTGGGAGCATGTCAATATAAACACTCGGTAGGTGGTGTTGACAAAAATATCGCGAGATTTGTGAATATACCGGTACCGTGGAGTCACCGGTATCATGGGGTTCGAGTATATATATGTCAAAACCAAAGGGGTTCGACACACTTGGGTGTGTTCATATATAGTGTAACTATATTGTGAACTTGCACAAGCAATTTGAGAAAATATATTGGGACAAAAATTTTATATAGAGTCTCCCCTCACCATAGTGTTAAAGCCAGATTTTGGTCTCTATGACGTACCCTCACAGATACAGAGATACAGATCCCATATATATACTATAATTTTTATAGTATATTTTATAGTATATATATGGGATTTTTTTAATCGTTATTTTTTTTTTTTTTTTGGATAGAATTTCGGGTTCCTGTGGTTAATTACACAATATTATATGAACACACCCAAGTGTGTCAGACCCCTTTGGTCAAAACCAGAAACAGACCTCTCTGAAATGAAACAGATTTAGGTGTTAATGTGAAAAATGCAGCGATTAAAACTAAGTCAGTGTTTTTTTTTCACTTTTGGGGGAAAGGGGCCGGTGCCACTTGGAGGGGGAAAAATGCAATAGGAGGGGGAATTTTATTTGTTTACTTATTTTATATTGTTTTCTCTGCGGTGGAAAAGAGGAGCAACTCTTGCAACAAGTTTAAAATAAGTCTCTTTTTCTTGATATACGGATCTAAAATTTGATGCATCGTATGTTAAACTTGTTGGCATGCCGGGAGTAGCTCCCCTTACCTACCAGAGAACGATTTGTAAACAACCTTAATTGCTTAACAGTAACTCTTTCAGGCATTAAATAAAACATTTTTCGGCAGTTAGTTGCAAAAAAAATGATATTTATTGCAGGCAAATTCGGGCTGCCATAAAAGGGAAATTTAGGCTTTGAGGGGGAAAAAAAACATACTATTTTGAGGGGGGAATGGGGCCGAATTTCGCCGAATATTTTGGTGAAAAAAAAACACTAAGTCATTTTTCAAAAATAATATGAAATTGAACTAAGCCTATGAATGGGGAAGTCGGTTAAAATAATCATAATCATTTTTTATTTTAAATTTTCTGCTTTACTGTAAAGGTGTCATTGGGTATTTCATGCACTGCTGCTGTTTTCACTCGGAACACCTCAACCATAGACGCCAGGGGGTCAGATCCTGCCCCTAACGTGATACGCCCCTGTAAACACTCTATCAAAAATATTTTAATATTTAAACACGAATGGGACATCTATTGCAACAAAAATTGTTTAAAAACCAGTTTTATCGTTGTAATAGATGTCCCATTCGTGTTTAAAATATTTTTGATAGAGTGTTTACAGGGTCTGTTAGCAATTTGGTTTCCGGAGCATAACTTTAGTTCCATTTGGCCCACAGTATTCAAACTTCATAGGATGATTGCCCATATTGGGTAGAAGACCCCTATTGATTTCGGGGTCACAAGGTCAAAGGTCAAGGTCACTATTACCATAAAACTGAAAATGGTTTCCGGAGCATAACTTAAGTTCCATTTGGCCCACAGTATTCAAACTTCATATGATGATTGTCCATATTGGGTAGAAGACCCCTATTGATTTTGGGGTCACAAGGTTAAGGGTCAAGGTCACTATTACCGTAAAACTGAAAATGGTTTCCGGAGCATAACTTAAGTTCCATTTGGCCTAAAGTTTTCCAACTTCATAGGATGATTGTCAATTTTTGGGTAGAAGACCCCTATTAATTTTGGGGTCACAAGGTCAAAGATCAAGGTTACTATCACCTTTAAACTGGAAACAGTTTTCGCTCAATAACTCAAGCATTAATCAACCTACAGCCAAAGTACATTCGGGCATATAATGCCCCGCCTAAGCGGTGCTCTTGTTCTTGATATACGGATCTTGAATACTGACGCAATGCATGTTAAACTTGTTGGGATGCCGGGAGTAGCTCCCCTTACCTACCTGTGAATGATTTGTAAACAACCTTGCTTAACAGGCAGTGTTACAGGCGTAAAAAATAAAACAGTTTTCGGCAGTTAGTTGCAAAAAAAATGATATTCATTGCAGGCAAATTCGGGCTGCTGTAAAGGGGAAATTTTGGCTTTGAGGGGGAAAAAAACATGCTATTTTTAGAGGGGAATGGGGCCAAATTTCGCCGAATATAATTATACATTGGTGAAAAAAAACAATGGTATTGTAAAAAGAATTATCCCTACATGTATTAGAATCATGGTGAATGTGATCAAACACTTTTTCTGTGACAATGAGTAAAAAAAACATGAAAAACTGTTAAACATGAGTTATTATTCTTTAATTATATTTTTTGCAACATTAAAAAAAATCTCCAATAAATAATTAATAGGTTTCAAAATAATGTGGAGAAATCAAATATAATCATGGATTGTTTTGATAAACATACTTATTAATTGGTGTACAAATACTGTCATTAAAATCTATATTGTAAGCATTCTCTCTATATACATTGCATGTTACTATATTAGTCGCAACTTGCGCCATATAAAAATAGCAACTCCCTAGCCTAGGAAAATTTTGTTTTTCAAACTTGTTCTATGCTAGGAAAGCTTGCGCTCAAAATCCCGGGCAGATTTCACCACACTGAAGTTTACTTATATTGTACTTAGAGGGGAGATATTGCCCATAGCACAATATCTTGTCGCTTAGTACAATTAGTTGGACTACTGTCTGTGGATGATCGTTTCATTATGATTATCAGCGTTCTAGAATAGGATATGACATCTATGTCCGAGGGAACTTGCTACATTTGAAAATAAGCAACAACCTGGAGAATTCCAGTTCAATGATCATGCACAATAATTGAGTCCCCATTTCAAGCCAATCAGTACTTTTGAACTATATGATATGGAAAAGGTTTGAAATTCTATTTCTTTGATAAAATCACCGCTTACTATAGCCTAATTAATTAAGTGTAAATTGTTTGACCTACATGTATTTAACTTTTTTTCCCTTCTGTCAAACCATTATGCCTAATTTTATCTGTCACTTTTATGCACTGAAAATTTATTGGCAACACTGTTGCTAGTTTAAATCGATTAAAAAGGTAAAAATCATAAAACATCTAAGGTCTTCAAAAAATCATTAGACTATATGTTTTGTTACTTTAAATCTAAATAAAAAATGTATTCAATGACAGCTCTCTGAACGCATACTGGCGATTTAATTTTTAAATATGTATTAAGGACTATTTCTCCAGCGGACATGTTATGACGTCATCATAAAAAAAATCAATTCTGTGATAAATGAATACCAGTCCTATTTGGTCTGTATGTATTGGCAAATATTAGAGACAATATAAGAGTTTAAAATTTATTTTTTTACTAAAACAATTGAAATGACTGCTTTAGAACTGAGAAAGACCAATTATAAGTGGTTAAACTTGTAATAAAGACATTTGGCTTTTCTGGCCTTGACGCAAATTTTATCTTTGCATTTCCTTCACCTGGGGAATTATTTTGATGTCATCCATGCGAAACCAATGAATTGGGGTGTATATGTCAGTAATTTGAATTAAGTAACTTCAACCAGTGTTAAATATATGTCCCTGATGTTTCTGAATTGTCCATCTATCTGTCCTGCCGTAACTCAAAATGTTATTTGTCCATTTGTCAGTCATTCTGGCTGTTCAAAGTAATCTAGATCTGGCTATAACTCCAAAAAGTACAAAAGTGAGGTTCATGATGCATTGAATGTGTATAGAGCACCATATGGAGGGAGATTATGCATGGCATAGTAATGTTTACATCAGTGAAAAAATGTGGCCTTGACCACTAAAAGCTTGTAAAGAACACTTTGGCTTACAGTCCTAATATTGGGTGACCCTTATGGGATATAGGTCAGTAGGTCAAAGGCCAATTTCATTGTCTAAAATTGTTAAACTGAAAGTGGATTATTAAATCAATCATATACATGGTAATTCTGTTCCCTGAATTGAGGATAAAGTAGCTGCTGTTCCATTATAAAAACCATTGATTTCTTTTTTTTGGAACTTATCTGATACAATATATATTGTATATTTTATATTGCTATATTTTACAGGCCAATCTGGATTGTTACATGTATGTATTATGTTGCTATTATTGCTCAGTCATAGCTTTTCCATGCCCATGTGATAACTGTGTTCAAAAATACCGCCTTATATTATTCTATATATACCCAATGTTTACAACATAACTCATTGCGATTGAAGAAAAACTATTCCATTTTAAAAGGCTAAACCCACTGTGTGTTTAGCCATAGAGGAAATATTTAACAATTTTTATCAACATTTTTTTGAACAAAATCTTTAATAAATGCAGTTATTTTGGGCAATTAATTTTCAGTACAAAGATTTAAATGTACATATATGTGCTCATGTTAGATTGGTACAAACTTCTGTAATAATGTTTTGGAATAGAGATCTTCCGGAACTTGGAAAATATGGGTTTTTCGGTCTATTCCTGGGTTCAAACTTTTTCAGCTTAATGTAAATGTACAACTGGGTAAATATGTTGATAATAAGTCACCATATGCAGTGCCTAATATTAAGTCCCATTGTTAATAGTAGTGCACCATGAAGCTGTAACAGTTAAAGTTTGTTTGTGTCCCAGGATTCGATGGATTAGCCGAGTTCCGGATAAGAACTTTTGTGGATGCTTAGCCCTAAATTTACCGATTATCGTCGGCACATAGTCCTTCCCTAGAGCACTGATTTATAGACAGAATCTAAGGCAAGTTATTTTTATAGGTGAATGACATCATAGAATAAGAGCCTGTGGTAATGTATTTATTATCACGTTTTGTACATTTCTTGCAGTATTACATACTTGCTTTTGAGAAAACTGTGAATCTTTGCAGAGTAATTATTGAAGATTGACCTACAAGTGTAGAAAGCTTTGAAGATATCCTTCTGTATTTTATATTTGAGCCTTAAGAACCTTAAGGAGACATTTAAAGAAAGTTTGTTTTTTTTTATTTGGAAGGAAAATGGATGTGTTATAAAGATTTTTTTGTTTTTCGCTTTGTTTTGAAATGTACATGAAAGAATGTAACAATGAAAAAAGGATATGTGAAAATGTGTGAATCAAAAGATTCAGAGCAGAAAGAATGTTTGAAGCCAAGCAAGGATTTATCTGAGGTATTTTGTTTAACGTTTACCTAAATATTTTAAATGGACTTGCCCATATTTCAATCTGGACAAAACCATTCATCATTTTTAGGGAAAATATCTAAATATTTATATATGTACTGAAATATAAGTGAACAGAGTGCAGATCATGATTAGATCATAGATGCCAGGGATGTGCCAGCTGATCTTGGTCTGCACTTTGTTGCATGGGCATATGTTATAGTGGCCAGTAGGCTTAGCTTTATTTGTTTATTTTTTTAATCATTTAATTTAAAGATGGTTTTTCATAGCTAATGTGAAAATATTCATCATGCTTGATTCTGCTTGATATGTCAAATTTAATGAAAGTTAATGAAAAATGTTAAAGTCTACAGTGACTTTGTTAAAAGGATTTAGCACTTGTACAAATGTAATTAAAGTCATGGTATAATTTATATTATAGTATTGAAAACATGTTACATGTATATTACTCACTGTTGGGGTAAGCACATGGTTCAGCAGCAGCAACGTTTGACTGCAAATCTGGGTTGATACTTAAATTACTATGAATAGTTCAGAATGGAGACTGTAAAACCTCAGGTGTCATATGGTTATACATGCAAATAGTATTTAAGCATATCAGAATAATCAGGTGTTACTTCATTTCTGTAGAAATGTCTTTCGTATGCTATTTTCTAAAAACATAATGACTGAATAGTGCTCTTCAAGCGGAGTTACCCAAAATAGATTTCTGGTAGACTGCAAGTCATAAATGGGCGATTCCAATTTTTATCATGTGAAGTCAACGTAGTCAAGCAAAGGAAAGAATTATAGCAGAGAAATGTTATAAAAATTATGTCAAAAAAGTCCTTCAAAAAACCAAACCAGAACTTATTCCAGGCACATTATGCCTCAGAAATCAATATTTTTAACCAGGTTTTCCGAAGGAAAAAACTGGTTATAAGATTGAGGTATGTCGGCGGGCGGATGGGCGGGCGGGCATAAACAATTTCTTCTGTGCGCAACTCCTTCTACATTTCTCAACGGATTTTGACCAAACTTTCACAGAAGCTTTGTCATCAAGTGCCCTGGCGCATATTGTCGGGGTTTGTGATTGGATAATATTTGACCTAATTATGGCCCTTTGTTTTTTTTCCTTATATAGAATATATATATAGTGAACAATTTCTTCTTGTGCGCAACTCCTCCTACATTTCTCAACAGATTTTGACCAAACTTTCACAGAAGCTTTGTCATCAAGTGCCCTGGGGCATATTGTCGGGTTTTGCGATTGGATAATATTTGACCTAATTACGGCCTTTGTTTTTTTCCTTATAAAGAATATATAGTGAACAATTTCTTCTGTGCGCAACTCCTCCTACATTTCTCCACGGATTTTGACCAAACTTTCACAGAACCTTTTCACCAAGTGCCCTGGGGCATATTGTCGGGGTTTTGCGATTGGATAATATTTGACCTAAATTATTGCCCTTTGTTTTTTTTTCCCTTATATAGAATATATAGTGAACAATTTCTTCTGTGCTGAACTCCCTCTACCATTCTCAACGGATTTTGTTCAAACTTTCACAGAAGCTTTGTCATCATGTGCCCTGGCGCTTATTGTCAGGGTTTTGTGATTGGATAATATTTGACCTAATTATGGCCCTTTGTTTTTTTTCCTTATACAGAATATATAGTGAACAATTTCTATCGTGCGCAACTTCTACATTTCTCGACGGATTTTGACCAAACTTTCACAGAAGCTTTGTTATCAAGTGCCCTGGGGCATATTGTTGGGGTTTTGTGATTGGATAATATTTGACCTAATTATGGCCCTTTGTTTTTTTTCCTTATACAGAATTATCAATATATAGTAAACAAATTCTTCTGTGCTGAACTCGTCCTACATTTCTCAACGGATTTTGTTCAAACTTTCACAGAAGCTTTGTCACCAAGCGCCCTGGCACATATTGTCGGGGTTTTTTGCGATTGGATAATTTTTGACCTAATTATGGCCCTTTGTTTTTTTCCTTATACAGAATATATAGTGAACACTTCTTCACTGGCAATTCCTCCTACATTATTCATGTTTTACATTGCACATAGTTACATTGTTTGTTGCTGGTATTTGTATTTCAAATACAACATATTTATCTACAATGGTGATAATTGAAAACCTGGTTTCGTGGCATTGCCATGTTTCTTGTTTAATTCTTTAGAAATGTCAAACACATGTTTAATAGTGTTTGAATAATGGATTTAGGGCATGTTAGATGTTTAACAACTGAAGAAAAATAGTTCTGAACGTGCAGTAATCCGTCTTAAAGGTAGCAAAATGTAAACAAAGTAGTATTTTTTGTCTTCCATTCAAAATACTTATTTACTATAATAATGCTGATTGCCAACAGAATTTAGATAGTTGCCAAAGATAGTCCATGTATATTGCAAATGAGTATTTACTGTGAAATCTGTAACATAATACCAAAAATGAAAAGTTTTTTCGAGAAATAAAATTAGTAGCGTTTCTGAGGCATAATGGGCCTTTAATATTTGTAGTTGCTGGCATTACATGTAATTATATAAAATACAGTTTAGTCAGATGTTGAAAATTTAAAACAGCATGTTTTTAAAAAAAGGATAATTATCGATGTTTTGTTTTCTCTTCATCTGAATAAATACATGTATGTTTACATTTTATTCTCAGCATGTTCCGGTACTGCAAATTATCTAATAATTATCAGTTCATATTGTTTGCAGAACTTGACAAACCACCAGTGCCATACGAACCAATTTTGCTTTTAGTGCATTGATTTGTTGGATGACTATTTAGTAAAATTCTGGTTGGACCCAATCTACATTTAAATTCAAAATTTAACCATTTTCATATACATACATGTATATAACTGTTGAAAACTGTTTCAAGCCAGTGCTAGGGGGATGTGGATGGTAAAGCTTGCACTTACCATTACACCATTCATGACTCAATAAAACCGAGCCTGCAACATTTTCAATTTTGTGTGTCTCAACTCATTGTGAGTAATGAAGAAAAATGTCAGAAAGCATACCATTGTTTGCACCTGACTTTAAGTTTCAGAAAACCGAGACGTTTTTCATGACAAAAGTTTATACATGAGGATTTTTTTAGAATACAATTTAGTATATTATGCTTTGATACTCAGATACCATAATAGTTGGTTTTGTTTATATGTATTTATAAAATTCTGTTGTGGCTTGGAAGAACCTAATAATAGGTAATACTAGATTATAATGTTCTTAAAAAAAATAAAAAAAAATTCTGGAAAGTTACTTCAGTTATATAATACCTCAATGTGTCTGTTTTTGATGCAAAATGAATGGGAACAAAATAACATTGTAACAATGATTGTTTGTGTCTTTGTTCCTTAGAAGACAGTGAGTTTATTTGTTGGTAAAGTGGTAGAAAAAGATTTGTCGCGAAAGAGCAATATGAAGAAATAAGTAGATCTGAACTTTAATCAGATTGTATTTGTTGCTGGTGCAAAACATTATTCAGGTGTTGATATAAATTGAAAAAAAAACTTACGTAAATTTTTATTTTCAGACCAATGACAGGATGTCGTTTCAGAGTCTCGACTCGGATGAGTTCGGTTTATTGTCCAGCCGATCGTGTTCTCCCAGCGGCGTAGACACCATTTCGCAGCAGTATAATAGTTTGGAGTATGCTGGAAAAGATGAAACACAAAGTCCAAGGAATACAACACCACTGGTGGTGAATGATCGCTCCTTATACCAGACCATGTTCATGTCTGATCTTGCGTCTAAAGAAGGTAACTGTGGAAATTTACTCCTGATTTAAATTTGAAAATTGCAAAAGTATACAAAAAAAAAAAGAAATTGAAAAAAGAAAATTTTTTAAAAAAATCAACCAATTTCAGTCAGTGTTAAAGTCAGAATATTTTATAGCCCCAAAGACCAGTAAGTTGAAAAAAGTTGAAATTAGGAGTTTTAGAGAAACTAAAACAACCTTTGAACATACATTATATCCAATACTAGAATAATTTTATTTTTTGTTTGCTATTCAGTCAAATCACGGTTTAAATTTTCATTTAAGATAGTTTTGGTTGAATGTAACATTTCAAGTTTTTATGCCCCAGGCATATAGTAATATAACCGTCTGTCCGTCCGTCTGTCCGTCCGTACGAGGTTAACCTAGAACGGCAAGTTGGATTTTTCTTAAGTTCTACCTACTTACTTATCAATACAAAGTACATGATCTGGTCAAGTTACATAACTATGGCTTCTATATTTACCAAGTTATTGCCCTTTTCAGCACTTAGAAAATGAATAATGGTTAACCTAAAACGGCAAGTTGGAAATATCTTAAGTTCTATCTATACTAATGGCTTCATAATTTCCACACTTACTTATCAATACAAAGTACATGATATTGCCAAGTTATATAACTGTGTCATCCATATTTCCCAGTTATTTCCCTTTTTTCACTTTGAAAATAGGGCCTAAAATGTCTGCTTAACCTATTCAGGAAAGTTGGATTTATCGTAAATTTCTCTTAATTGCTTAATTTATTTAATGATATCTTGCATATTTGGTAGGTGGATACCTTTAATGGTCCTCTAATTTTTTGTGGAGTAAGTGGTCTCTGGGGTCAAAGTCAAGGTCACTGGTTTAGAAAATAAATTTTAACAGTTTTGCTCATACAGCCTTTATTTTTTGGTTGATGTCTTTCATGTTTAATAAAAACATGCCAAGGGAGGTCCTCCTTCTTTGGGTATAGTAAGGGGTCATTTGGGTCAAGGTCTATGTCACCAATGTCAAGGTCACTAATGTTAAAAATAGATTTTTACATTTTTACAGATGTATTAACCATATTCTATAGACAGATGTCATTTATAATTGATAGGAACATAAAATTTGATGGAGTTAGTGGTCAGTTGGGTCAAGGTCACCAGTGCTAAAAATAGATTTTTACACTTTTGCTCATACAGCCTTTATTTATTGACAGTTATATTTCATATTTGGTAGGAAGATAACTTGCATGGTATTCATCCTTTTGATTGGGGTAGGTTCAGTGGGTCATGGTCACTTGTGCTAAAATAGATTTTTACACTTTTGCCCATACAGGCTTATTTATTGACAGGTGAATTTCATATTTGATAGGAAGATAACTTGCATGGTATTCTTCCTTTTGATTGAGTTAGGGATCAGTGTGTCAAGGTCACTAGTGCTAATAATAGATTTTTACACTTTTGCCTATACAGCCTTTATTTATTGACAGATGTATTTCATATTTGATAGGAAGATGACTTGCATGTTATTCTTACTTTGGATGGAGTTAGGGGTCAGTTGGGTCAAGGTCACAAGTGCTAAAAATAGATTTTTACACTTTTGCCCATACAGCCTTTATTTATTGACAGATTTATTTCATATTTGGTAGGAAGATAACTTGCATGTTATTCTTACTTTGGATGGAGTTAGGGGTCAGTTGGGTCAAGGTCACGAGTGCTAAAAATAGATTTTTTTTACACTTTTGCCCTTACAGCCTTTATTTACTGACAGATTTATTTCATATTTGGTTGGAAGATAACTTGCATGGTATTCTTCCTTTGGATGGAGTTAGGGGTCAGTTTGGTCAAGGTCATCAATGCTTAAAATAGATTTTAACATTTTTGCCCATACAGCCTTTATTTATTGACAGGTGTATTTCATATTTGGTAGGAAGATAACTTGCATGATATTCTATAGGTGTCAGTGGGTCAAGGTCAAGGGTGCCAAGTATAGATTTCTTACATTTATATATATTTGATAAAGTAGAATATTTATCACTTCACAAGTCATAGCAGTGACTTGGCAACTTATATATTTCACAATTACAAAACACCATGACTCTGTCAAGCTATATAACTTGTGTTTACAATTTTTTGGCAATGTTTCTGTCCATAACTGAGTGAATGGGTAAACATTTTTTGAAATATTGCTACTGACAAGAATCAAAGCCGGGGGCATTTGTGTTTAACAAACACGTTCTTGTTTTTTTTCTAAAGCAAAGAGATGACAATTTAATCCCTTGTTCTTCAGAATGTTAAGCTCCAAATATAAAGCAGACTAGTTCATTACAATAATTCAGGGAGGTTTAGGGTTTCAGTCATTTTACCCTTATTTTGCTGATATTATGTAGTGGATTTGCCCATCTGTGAGTTTGGAACAGTCCAATCAAACATTAACAAATTTTAATATATGGAAATAGAAAAATTGAGCTTTGATGTGTTCCAATGGAATAGAGCCTGGTCAGACTACACGGGCTCTATAGTGTTGGCATGTCAGGTCTAAACGGTGAAGATTTCATAGAATTTAAAACCTAGTTAAGGTCACCATGGCTCAAAATTATTATTGTACTCTTCATCAATGTTTGGTTATAACTGTAAGAAAAGAGAACATGTATACAAAGTGTATACTTAATGTTCACTTAAACGTTCAATAACAGTAAACAAGGGAAGAGAACACGTAACTGCCCATGCACACACAGTTCTATAAAGTCACCTCGGCCTTGAAACCCGTTGTCACTTGATGCAGGTTCGAGATTGTTATTTTACAATATCTGGATAATTCAAAACTCTACACTGTCAATTCACTCATTCTTATACATGTTTATTTTCTTATCACTCTATGTATTGTAGATAATACAGCTCCGTATATTTTATTACTATGTCATAGCAGTATCAGGGAATTTTCCGATGATTTGTCACCAATATTCTTGTTCTGAAAAAAAAGTATCAACTAATGCTCCTGATGAGGATGATTTACATTATGTTAAATTAAAGGAACTCCACTGAGATTTTTTTGACATGACAGGACTGGAAATGTTTTCCCGATATTCGTGTTCCATTTGATGTAGGTCTGGACCAATAACTTGTGTGCAAATAATCAGATCATTCTTTCACTCTGTTCTTATTGTTTTTATTAACAATTTTGCATATTAACCCAAAAATATGGAACGCTATGCAATGTTTTACAAAGAATCGCCCAAAAATTGATATTCAATTAAATTCTGAGTATATTTCTTTATTGTCCTTAGCAGGGTTTTCCACTTTAAGTGCTTCACTTAATTAATGTAAGAATTTCAAATTTTATGCTTTTATGAGTGTTAACCATTGATTAATGTATGAATTTCAAATTTTATGTACATGTATTTATAAGTGTTTACCTGGCAGTGTAAATTAATTAATCCCTTAATTAATAATGGTATTATATACAGCTAGTATTTTATGAAATGACAGCCACCCCAATGTTTATTTCAAATTTAAATACAACAACACATTTTTTTTTCTTCAAAAAAAAAATCTAGTAGTTATTAAAATGCTGTATAACACATGATGCTGACATTGATTTTCTCAACAGGAAGGGAATGCTCTCTACAGACTGTATGATTACTGTTTGTTATTAGGTAATTAGAACTGTAGACACTCCTGAGATAGTTCTCATAGAAAGAAAGGGATATCCATGGTCCTGTTTTAAAACATTTACAAAATTGATGATGTATTCTCAAAATAAAATCTGATTTATGTGCATATCATGATAGTCAATGTCCTGTTGTTGTTGTTGTTTTTTGTTTTTTTCATACTTAAACCATTCAAGATTTGAGAGATGTCTGAAGAAAGGTTAAAGACATTTCTGGGAGTACTGCAATAGGGTTTAATTTCCTCTTGAAATTGACATATTAGAAGAATAAAAATCTCGGTTTAAGGTGCAGACCTCTCAAAAAGTACTAAGGGTGGTGACCCTCATTTTTTCCCATCAATTTGTTTCAATTTACACTTGAATCATGCAAAGTTTAAGAAAATTCTTTGCACTTGTTTATTATTTTGTGTTTTCTTTTTATTCTATGTGAAAAAAATGAACTACTCCCAGAAGTGTTTTTTTGATGACAGTTATATGTTATAAATTTTTTTAATCTATTTTTAGAAACAACTAAAAATGAGAGTTCAGGAGATGTTAATTCTATAGACAGACAAGATTGGGGATTTACTGTAAGTACTGAAAACAGTGTCAGTGTTTTACAAGCAGGGCTCTCATTTCTTGATTTTTCGGGCAGAGATTTGGCCCCATTCTTCTCCCCAATGTATATATTATATATATTTGAATATTGATATATGTTCTGGCATAGCAGACTGGCGTTTCCGTTAGTTTTACCTATGCTCGAAATTTCATCTGGCATGTGGGGTGCCAGATGAGTGTGTGCTGTCCAATGTTACGCTTTTGATGACGTAATTTTACTGCTAAGAATAAAGTTGTAATTTCATACAACTAGAAAATAGTTACGGGTGTAATGACATAAATACATTTTAATAGAGTAAAGTGTTTAAAATATAATTGAATATGGTAGAATATGCAAGAGAAAATATCTGACATGTTTGCAGTTCGGATCAGAACATCCGTCTTTCTGGAACCTGCCCATGGCCAGTAACTCGACAAGCCTTGTTACCACCCAACTGCAATATGTGTATTTAGAGCAACAACAACAAAAAATTGAGAAGTTAAAATAAATGTATATATTGGCAGTTAGAGTGTGGCATGGATAGATTGGTGAAAACATTAGTTTGATAATAAAAAAACAACAACAACATAAAGCAGCTAGGCCAAGCCAAAATTGGAGCTATCATTACAAACATCGAATAAGTTAATGGAAATAGTAAAAGGAGCTTTACTTTATTTTCAGGATTTTATAAAGCAACCCAACTCAAGTTGTCAGTCTGATCTTTTATCATACGATGCTGTGTCTCCGCCTGGCTCCACCCATTCTGTAACAGTAAGCTGGGACACATCAGAAACAAAATCTGTTCCGGTAACTGTATGTTTGAACACCTCGGAAACAAGCACAGTGCCAGTATCGGTTAGCTGGAACACGTTGAGGACGAGCACTTTACCGGTGACAGTGACATACAGTACATTAGGTACTATATCTGCGGAACATCTAAGGGACGAAAATAGTATACTGCCACATCCAGATGAAGAACAGTGTAAGTTGTGGTTTTAGAACACAGATATTTTTTTTTTGTGCTTAATTTTCATTAAACTGCGTTTTCCAGTTGAATCCATATTCTTATTCATTTTGGAAGGAAGAACTTTTTCTCCAAGAAACAATAATGTTAGGCTACTCAATGTGAATAAAAGTAAATGAAAAAAATTTATCTGCAAGTAATTGAAAAAAGAATAAAGAAACATGTATTTCTCTTTGGTATGGGCAAAGATGCGAAACTTTGACAGTGATGTAAATCTCAGATTTGTTGATATGATAAAGGAAAGTTATCATATCAGACAACTGCTAATCATGAAACTTGTGCAAGGGATTGTGGTCCTGAAACTGATGAATTTTTAGCTCGACTATACGAAGTATATGGAGAGCTGTCCTACTCGCCCCGGCGTCGGCGTCCGCGTCCAGATTTCAGATTAAAGTTTTGGTGCAGTAAAATATTTTTCACTATAACTTTGTCATTTCTTAAGGTATCAACTTTAAACTTCAAATATATGTTCCTTATCATCAACCACATCTTATGTGACAAGGTTCATAACTCTAGCACCAATATTTTCAGATTTATCTCCCCTTGAACTTAGAATTTTCCTCAAAAAATATTATTTTTTACCGTTACTTCTTTATTAGTTAAGGGATCAACCTCATACTTCAAATATATGTACCTTATCATCATCCCCATCTTATGTGACAAGGTTCATAACTCTAGCACCAATATTTTTAAGATTTATCTCCCCTTGAACTTAGAATTTTCCTCAAAAAATATTATTTTTTACTTTTACTTCTTTATTTGTTAAGGGATCAACCTCATACTTCAAATATATGTACCTTAACATCATCCCCATCTTATGTGACAAGGTTCATAACTCTAGCACCAATATTTTTAGATTTATCTCCCCTTGAACTTAGAATTTTCCTCAAAAAATATTATTTTTTACTGTTACTTCTTTATTTGTTAAGGGATCAACCTCATACTTCAAATATATGTACCTTATCATCATCCCCATCTTATGTGACAAGGTTTGATAATCTAGCACCAATATTTTCAGATTTAACTCCCCTTGAACTTAGAATTTTCCTTGAAAAAATATCATTTTTTACTATAACTTTTTTTAGATTTAAAGGTATCTACCTCAAACTTCAAATACTTATTCCTTATCATCAATTACATTTTATGTGACAATGTTCATAACTCTTGAAACAATATTTACAGATTTTATCTCTCTTTGAACTTAGGATTTTCTTTAAGAAATATTATAACTTCTTTACTTTTTAAGGTATCTACTTCAAACTTCAAATATATATTTTCTTATCATTACACACATGTTGTATGTGACAAGGTTCATAACTCTAGTGGTGACTATTTCTAGAATTATTCCCCTTGATCTTTGAATTTATGTTAACAAATGTTTTTTTACTACAACTTAATACATAATTATACATAATTGATTTTTCTTTCATAGTTTTGTCCTCCTTACTGTGTCCAGTATTTTATTAGTCCAGCTTCGCTGTCTCCTGTGACAGCTCTTGTTATTTATGAACTATCATTTTTCTTCCAGTTGTAAATATAAATAACTTCTGCTATTTTATAACTTTGGTGGGCTTGAGGTCACAATCAAGATCAAGATTAAAATTGAATTCTCATATTTTTATGTGAGAACTTTATTTATTGACTCACCAAGGCTAAATTAGATTTTCTTACATTTTCTCAGAAAAGCTTTCATGTATTAGGTTATGCATATAAGGGCTCAATAGATTTTTAATATTACTTTACAAGGACCTGTACCATGGCTGGATTCAAGGTCACTCAGTACATCAAGTTCATTGAGGCTAAAAATAGACAATAGCGTTTTCAAACATTATATTGTTGTTTAATTTTTACTTTGTCAAATGTTTAAGTTCAGAGAGAATCCATTGCCTTCCACGATATTCTTGCCATCAATCATTTTCTATTCTTTTTTTACTATGTGAGATGTTTTATTTATAGTTGCAGATGCCTATGACAGGGTATCATTTGATGGACCAACACAACATCAATCCACACTGGGGATCTGGCAGTATGTTGTAGAATTTTATTGTCTTCTTCAATGTAAATTGTACAAAAAAGTCTACAACAGAAATGGCCACTTTTATGTCAAGTCTTTAAAAAAAAGATGAAACATAACATTCATATGGTTCGTCTGATGATACTCAAAAGTATTGTATGAATAATATGAACATCCAGACCGCATATTATACTTTGAATCTAGACAAGTTTGAAAAGACCCCATTTTACTTTGTGCCTTTAAAGTATGTGAATTACCTGTAAACCGGAGAATCTGAAGTCAACGTGTTGGCCACCAGTATAAGAGCCGATAATCCTGAGACTTTGAGGGCGCATGGGCTCGGGGGCAAGCTCAACGGCCGTCGCGCGGTGCATTGTCCATCGCAAGGGACTGTACCAGGGCTCCGCAACTCTCTCACTGTAGCCTAAACTTTTTTGTATTCAGTATACAAACTTGAATGGAAATCGGGGTTTCCCAAAATTCCCCCACTGAAAACCAAAACCTGTTTCAAATTTTGTAGATAAAAAAGGGTTAAAAATTTCCCTTTGAAACAATTTTTTTTTAAACTGAATATTTCCCAAATTTTACTCTTATTTTTTAAAAACACTTTTATTTTAAATTTTTTTTTCAGTTTTTCAACCCGTCTGCCTTTTTAGATTTTTAAACAAAAAGCTTTTGAATTTTCCCCTCACTTTTATCAACAGCGAAAAATGAAAGAAACCCCAAAATGGGGGGCTACAAAAAAACAATTCAATTAAACCCGTTTTTCCCCAGGAAACTATTAAATTGAAAATTTTGGACCCGCAAGAAAACATTTTCCAAAAAATGGGGCCCGTAAAAATAAACCCAGAACCCGAAAAATTTTAAAAACCCCCACTTCTATAGCTGCCACAAGTTTAATGATAAATTACAAAGAGGATCTCCAGGATTAAGTCTGGGTCAAAACAAAGTCCGGTTCAGAGTTCAAAGTCCCGGTTCATAGTCAAAAGTCCCCGGGTTCCATAGTCAAAGTGTTGGGTTCAGAAAAAAACTGATTCCATTGTAAAACCCCTCTTTAATAAGCTTCAGACAGCATTAAGTAATGAAAAACCAACAAAAGATATTTTTTCAACAAAAACAACTTTCTCTCAACATTTTACGAGCCACGAAATTCCTTTTCGCTCAAGCGTCTCCATATTCCCTCAAATTGCACCTTGGGCCAGGTCAATGTGGAGGTGTCAAAAATCACCGAAAATTCCCAAAAGGGTGAAACGGACGTGAAAAAGTAATCGTTAATAATCAGAGAGAAGCATTAGCTTTACAACCCAAACTGGTTTAATGAAACTACGATAAAAACTGCCGAGCTGATACGTAAAAGGTCGACTTTTAAGAACAACAAGAAAACTTTCCAAGTTACATGAGGGGAGCGAAGTAGACATGAGAATTTGTTCTAAATGGTGCCTGAACAACCCAGAGAATAAAACATTTTGAAAGATATGTAAAAACTTTGTCCAATCAACCTCAAGATAACAATTCCTAAATTCCACAATGAAATCTTCCCAAGGTTTTTTGAAGCAATATAAATTTGGGTTGGGAATCAGGGAATGCGCATTGCTAAATTTTTTTTTTTTACATAATTTTCATTTTGTTTCAAATTTAAATTACGTCTTTTTTTTATATGGCTGTAAAATGGTTTTAATATTTAATTTCCAAAAATCATTTATTAGCTCCAAAACCCTTTTATTACCGAAGAAGAAAAGAGCTTATTGTTAACTGCACACCCAGGAGCAGGGGCGGGGACAGCATTGTTGGTCGGCATTAATGTCATACTTTTGTCAAGTTTTTTGCATGCAAAGTTTTGTATCTTCAAACTACTAAAGGGAATAGGTTGAGCTTCACAGACTTATTTGAGAGCACAGTACTAGGTCACGGTCATATCTCAATCACAAAACATGGATTTTGACAGAACTATTGCCCTTTTTGAACTTGTTTTGCTATCAAGCACTGAGAAAAAGTTAAGTACACTGTCCTACTGAGAGCTCTTGTTTATGCCCTATTGAAATTCAGAATATCAAGATGTTATGTGTTATGTGTTTATGAACATACTTATGTTTTGCTTATTTGGAATATGTTAGGTGAGAAAGGGTATTGTGTTGAGTCAACAGAGAGAAGGAATTGCTTAGAGAGAATTGTTGAATGAATAGAGTGAAATATGTAAAGTGCCTTAGATATTTATTTGAGTGCCCAGAGAAAATATGTTAAGTGCTTAGAGTGAATATTTTGAGTGCTTAGAGTGAATATGTTGACTGCTTAGAGGGAATATGTCGAGTTCTTAGAGTGAATATGTTGAGAGGAAAATGGTTGTTTGTGTATTTGTGGGGGGAGGGGGCAGGGGGGTTATGCCGTTTGCTTAAGGGAATGATGTTGATTTATAGAGGAAACATATTAATGACTTAGAGCCGAGAGGCTGATAACTCAAAAAGATTATGAAGTTTATGATTTTTTTCCGCATATTTTACATTCTTTTACAGACTGTTTCCCTAAGCCTATATGATTGCTTCCCCTAGTCAAAAAAATGCTATATTTTCCCCTAAAATGGAGTTATGTTTTCCCCTTATGCAGACAAAATTCTATACCTGCAGTAAAATAAGTTACATACGGAATAAACAACTCTAAATGAGAAAAAAAGAAATTTGAAATGAAAAGTTTTATATGGCTATGTTACATTCTCAGTTTGGTTTACTGTACTATATAAATCCCCTTCAAAAAAATCACTGGTTGTTTTGAAAATTCCAAAGAAAAAACTAGATGTGTGACAGCAGGTTATGCTGATTTCTTGGAGGATATGTGACTATTTAATGGGTATGTTGAATCAGAAATTGCTCTCTGAAGTATATCTAGAGGGAAATATGTTGAGAGCTTTGTGGATTATGTTGAGAGCTTTGAGTCCTTGAGGAAATATGTTGAGTGCTTTATGGATT